AATATTGATTTCCCTTTGTTTGCATTCAATCCTTATGACACTGGAGCATAAACCTGGTCAGGTGTTTGTTTTCATAATGATTTGTAATATATTAAGAAGAAGTCTGAAAGACATTTTATTATTTAGATGGTAGATGATGAAGTGTAGTCCTCACGTGTATCTCCTTTATTGACAGTAGTCTCGTGGGATTTTTGTGTTAGTTACTGTATATTTCTAGAACCTTCTGTGCTGACAGCTGTGTAAAGATGTTCACTCCTGTGTTCTAGATTCATTTGGCAATCAGCTCAAAGCTGGAATGAAGTGTAACCCGTTAGAAAACCTAACTAACTAATAAATGTGGCAAGAGCACAGTTTCGGTTCAAACTAGTTCAAACACACAGCTGAGCTGCTATGCCCTCATGCATACCAATTTACCAATTCAAATCTCTCTGCTAATGAGTTAAAAAGCACTGAAGGAAAAGTGTGTAGTAAAACTGTGACCCACGTTAACAGTTCGAGCTCATACGCTTTACCCAGAGTCAGTGTATTCATCTTAACAGTTGATTAAAAAAACATTTTGGTTTTTTTTTTCACATTTTTTTTAAAGATTAAAATGTAATGTCAACTGAAACAATAGACAAAACAGCTAAGAGGAAAGTACACATACTGCAAAAAAAGTAGGAACAGAAGTGAAGTAAGACTTTTAGGAATATTCTGGTTTGTTGGTTTTTATTGCAGTATTTCATTAAAAAAAAAAATGACAGAGATTGTGCAGCAATCAAAACATAGATAAATCCAAGAGATGTTTGACAGTGCATCTTTAAAGGCACACCTATATATTAGCTGCACAGCAGCATTTTTTAAATAGTCATCTTTAACTCTACTGTCGTCCTTTGAATTTCGTACACGCCCAGCGTTCTCCCAATAGATTTGCGTTTGGTCCCAGAGTTGGACGAAAGGTTGGCACAAGCCACACACACAAAGACATATTCTCAGCCACCGGGTCACCTAGACCCAAATGACAACCCATCCAACCATTTTCATCCGCTTATCCATTACCGGTTCGTGGGGGCAGCAGTCTCTATGACCGCCACCCAAATCACACTGCACCGTACCAACCCCCCTGAACCTTCGTGGTGAGTCCTCTGGAAGATACCAACCATCCTAACAGGGATTCAATCTTGCCCAGGAGGTGAACCCTGGGGTTCCACACCAATGACAGAGACATTGCCTCTGGGCCAAAGCTCCACCCGAAAGACAACACAAGGGTTATATCATCATCATCTTAAAACGAGAGACTTTATTAAGAACAATACCTGGAAATACAGTAACTAGCTGGAACTAGCCCCTTGCTCATGAATATACAAAGCCTGTTGGAATGCATGGAGCAGAATCTGTTCCTGAAACCATTGTTAAGCCATGTGGCAGAAACAACCATAGGCACAGTTCAGTTCAAGTGACAAGCAAAGAGTGATATAATCGTGGTGCTAAGACATTGAGTCACATTCAGTCCTCTGTACTGGAGCTGTTCCACAGGTCACACTTCATTCCAACTGGAAAACCCTGTTTGGTACTTTCCAAGAACATTGCATAGGTTCAAACCTGTTGTTTGAACCTATGAACAGAGAGGCCTAGAATTAAGCAGCTCGGGAGCTACTATTCAAATGACCATGCTATAGTGATCTGCTTACGTTGAAAACGTAATTAGATATATATTTACTCTAAACATACAACTAAACATACTTTATACTACATATCGTATTTTTCAGACTATAAGTTGCTGAGCGACTTATACTCAGGTGCGACTTATATATTAAAAATAATGTCACGTTTGTTATTTTCACACCAACAGTCACTAGAGGGCACTCTAGGCTTGTGTACTAGTATCTGCTACTCCTGTACAACTGAAAATGTACATGTTTGTTATTTTCACACTGCCAGCCGCTAGAGGGCACTGGTGCAACTTATATTCCGGAGCGACTTAAAGTCTTAAAGGCCCAATATGATTTCTGGTTTATATATACATTTATTTATATAGTATATATTTTAGAGTCCTGAGTACTGTAGAACATTTTGCTGTTGGCGTTTTTCTGCATCTGGCAGAAAACTGTCGTCAACGTAAGGTACAGGAGTGGTTGTAAACGAGGCTGATGTCCCATGTACTAGTAGTCTACAAGAAGATTTAACTGTGAAAGCCAAAGACATTTAAAATGATCTTTCTGTTCAAGATACATTTTTCTGTAGTCAGGGGCATTCTTCATGAAGACAGGTGGGCAAACCTACACGAACCCTCTGTGATGATTAGATCAAATATGTATTTATTTGGTAAGAAACAAGACTTTTGTGTTTAACTGTTTTTTATGGCCCAAATAAGATAAAACATCCTGTGAATATTTTTGTTACTAAAAGATTATGATTCTTTTTGGTTTATTGTTAATGTTAATGTTGAAAAGGTTGGTTAAAATATTATTAGTGTTACTTCTCTTTTGGTTCAACTTGTTTGTGTGAGGTCTGTCCCTGCTGTCTGCTGTGTGGGTTAATCAGTGTGATCACCCTCACCTGTGTCTCTGTCATCAGTCTCACTGGTGTCACCTGGTGCCCTGGGTATATAAACCTCTGTCCCTCACTCTGTCTTGTTTGAATTATTGAATGGTTCGAGTGTTCGTGAAGAGTGGTCTGTTCAGTTCGTTGTTCTGTGTGTTTGTGGTTTATGCTTCATGCTTGTTCCTGGTTTGTACTTTGTAGTTCTGACCTAGTCTAGTTTGTGCCTTGTTCCTGCAACCAAATTACTTTTTGGTTACTTTGCACTTTGAAATAAACTGCCTGCACCAGAAAGAGTCTCTCCAGTCCTGCATTTGGGTCCTGTCTGCTTCCTGTCTAGTCGATGGTGAATCCTCAGAGTTTGTCCAAGATGTTTTTCTTGAATAAAATCTGGCAAAAATAATCTTGTAGAATGTTCATGGTTACATTTCTGCTTTGACTTTTTTTGGTATTTAACAACCATAAAAGTCATGTTGTTCCTCAAACAGACCAATGGTATGACAACGTTAAATAATGCTACTAGACATCCCCCCCCAAAGAAATCAAGTCACACACCTGGATGGCTTGACAAGAGGAAGTCAGGCATGGAGTTCTTATGTGGCTGTGTCCAAATTCAGCAATCACACCTGGTCCTTTTGGGGCTAAAATTAATTTACTGTTGACAAGCTGAAATGGCAATGTCATCATGATTTTCTATGGAAATGTCCACTGGTGGTTGAAGAGATTCCTTGGCTGCCATGATATCTATTCTGGGATGTGTTGGTCTGCCCCCCAGCCCCAGTCAAGGATGGGTGGATTTTAATGGGGTGGAGTCTGTGCATTAAAGCTCCAGTTCAAGTAGAATGGGTTGCTATGTTTTTGACAAAAACTAACATGAGTTTTCTGTCAATTGGTTAATGTTGTTGCTCTCAAAAAAAGAAAATTAAAAATGTAGAATTACACACCCTGAAAAACCATTTAACTGTAAGAGATGAATGATGTAGATTTAATCAGTACCTCAACATATTGTCTATATATAAAGTATGTTCAGTTTATGTGAGTAAATAAATATCCATTTAACATTTTCAATGAAGATAAATCGCTTTAGCCTGGTCATTTGAATATTAACTTCAAAACTAAAAAAGTGTATGAAACAGACTATGTAGTAGAATTCTCTCCAAACTGTTGGTCAACTAGATTTTTGACGGGACGTTGGACAGTATTTATTTATTTGTTAAAATGTTTAGAAAAGGTGAATGGATTTGGAGCTTGAAGTCACCATAGAAGAACAAATCTTTGAAATTAGACGAAGAGCAAAAACAATGTAAATGATTCAAAGGCCAATTATGATCAGGTCTGTGTCTTCCTCAACTCTCCCGTCTCTCTCCGCCTCCACCATTTCCTGCCCTTCTATGTTTCCTCCCTGGTCCTCCCCCTGGTGTGTTGCACCTGTGTTTGTTAGTTTCCCAGCCTCTCTGTGTCTACACGTGTCTTCCCTACCTACTGTGCCAGATTCTCTTGGTCCCTGGAGGGAGGCGACCCAACGTTCTCATGTGGTTCTTCATTGAGTTTTCAACGTGTATGGACCCCCTCCCCCCATCCCCTCTTCTAGAGCAAGATTTCAACCTTGCTTATCTTTTTGGCAGCTTATCTTTTCCCATTGGACTGATGAATATGTGTTCTGACCATAACCAATCAACTTTCTATTCCATTATACAGTATTTTTCTATATTTGTAATAATTCATTTAGTTGTACTCTAAGTTTTTAATGACCTTTTTCCTCTATCTAGGTGGAGATGGTCAATAACTGGCACTGACACCTAAACATTCCGTTCAGGCCGTTAAGTATTCTGCCCCGGCTTCTCCAGCGTTGGAGTTTTCCTGTTAGCACTTTTCCCATCATTGTTGAGGTACTTTGCTCAGGATTACAGTTCCTTAACTGGTCAGTTTTCAGTTGAGTGCTGCCCATGGCTCTATAGAAGATGCCCTCTGGGGTAACTAGGGCTTGTGAAAAAGGCAGTGGTCCAGCCTAAGAGGACTGGACTGCCCTCTAAAAAGTGCTTGACTATAGTGGGCCGTTGTTCAGCCACAGTGACGTAGACAATGGAGGTCTACGTTTTTTTTAATAGGCAATTTACAGAGAAGGAAATGTTGATTATTTATCCATCAGTTACAAAAGTACCTGGAAATGAAAGGAAGAGTTTAGATTTTTTGAACATGTGCACATAGAATTATTGATGAGAAATGTCAATAGTAAAATCGAGAAAATGTCCCCTTGAAATAAAACATTTATCAGAGTAAGATTTGCTTTCAGATAAAGGTGTGCTAGTCAAATAAGTGTCTCACCATGTTTTTGATATATTAAAAAAGTCACTTTCTTGTTTGATTAAAAAAAAACGTATTAAGAGAAGGATCATTCATTATGGCTCACAGGTTTGACAAAACACTGTGACTAACTCAATTTTCATTTTTCCAATTTCCAATTTTTGTTACTTCCATACAGCAAAACCCTGATGTGAGTCAAGGATCCCCTGTACTTCCATTCTCCACTCACCCTTAATTGAAAAGAGAATAATTTAAATTCAAATTAAGCCCACAGCTGGAGTTTCTTAGCCATTCATGTCCGTAAAACAACCTCTTTCTTTATTGCCAATTTTGGATGTCAATACGAACCGCAGCATCTCTCTGGATGGAAACTCACAATTGAATCATAAAGGAGAGTCAGAATGGAAGTAATTGATTTAATTTGAGCGCCGAGGAGACGATTGATCTGTGAATAATGTGCTCTGTTTATGAACGTGTGCTGCTCTGACCTGGATTCATTTGCTTTACCACACTGACTTAATGTGTGCTTCATGGAGCAAACATGAGGTGTTTCCCTTTTTACATCATCTCCAGATAATGAGAGTCTGTTCATCATCGGTCAAATGTAACTCGTATTACGTCAACACTATTAATATTCTGTTAAAAACCATTATGACAGCTTTTACTTAACCTTTAATCAGAACTTTTTTCAGCCTGCAATATGTACATCTTGAGTATACACTGATCATTCGTTACATATGTACAAACCAATGGGTACAACACAAATATAGATACAGGAAGTGGTCCTCTGGTCATTTGTTCAAGTCTGTAGGCTCAGGTTGTGGGACCTGAACACTTCTTATTAAAGGTTAATGCCCAGCACATCTAATGCATTAGCACCCCCTTCAGTTAGAGCACTGTGTTGTCCAGTGTTGCTTCTGCATTTAGAAAGAAAATGCCATTGTGCAAAATACGATCAATAGTTTAAAATTGGACACAAAAGTGGGGAAAAAGAATAAAAAGGTATGGAAGCAGTTAAACACTTTGTACGAATCAGACAGTTTACTGTTATTTCATATTGCTCTCGATCCAGTCTTTAAAGTTAGATACACGTGTGTAGACCGTGTAAAGGCCAGGATCACACTCTCCTTCATCATAACCAAAGCTGACCAGACCCAGGAGCCTCCACAGCCCTGCGTTCGCCCCCTGAATCTCGTTGGGGTTAGCAGGGGACACAAGGATGCCCCCCGTGTCAGATGGACATATGTTCGAGGTTCCATAGTCAGGCTTCTCACCTGCACAAAGCATATTGTCTGTAACGCTGACTGGTACCCCATTACGAGCGTACTGCTGCTCACAAGGCACGACATCAGCCAGGTGGACAAGCCCCACCCTCGCCTTCTCGTCAGGGCCTAAGTCAGGATCCGGCAGTGGAGACCAGCCGGTGACGAGCCCCTGTCCTGCGGTCACCTCCTCTTCCTGGATAGCTGACAAGCAGAGGGGCAGGACCCTCTCCCCAATCCTTGCTTTGTCCAGTAATTTCACCACAGCAATATCTGAGTCCAGAATGTTGGGGTCATAGTTTGGATGAACTACAATAGAAGCCACCTTGGGGAACGAAGACCAAAAGAAGAATATTAGCAGTCAAGCTAATAAAAATGAACTCCTTAAGTTTGAAAATAACCATAATAATAGAGGATATTGTCTGCAATTTCAAAAACAAAATCTTACTCTTAGGTGCTGCAGACCTTTACTGTCCCTCTGGTCGTCACGGTGATGCTTTCCCACCACCACTTTGATCTTCACCGTATCCAGAGGATAAACTTTCCCCAGCTCTGTCACACAGTGAGCCGCCACCACCACACTCCTTTGGTTGACCAGAGCTCCACTGCACACCAGCAGCCAGTCAGAGGCCTGACTGTGGCGGTGACCTGCTGTAGCTCCGACATCTTTCTTCGGGGACCTCGCCAGGCTGTCTGCCTTGGTCACCTTGGTCTTCATGCCGTTGGAGGAGCGGCGGTAGATGGCTGCCAGCCAAGGCCAGTGAGAGTCGACTGGCCTCTCTTGGTCAAAGGTTGGATGCTTCCCACACACTACAAAGAGGAGGTGACAGGATGAGAGGCAAGAGGGAAGAAAAGACAGGAAAAATGTAGAGTTGAACTGAGACTGTGTCAACATTTACTGCTGTGCTGATGCTTTTCAGCTTTTATTTTAAACCCGCACATTAGCGAGCAGTTTTAAACACAGTTTGCCAAAATGCAAAACAGTTGCGTAAATACAAAACATATATAAGAGTAGTACTAAAGTGATACTTGCTCTGTATAGCATGTAAATGTAGATGTCTCTGTGTACCTAATGTAATGTATTTAAAGGAAAAACTAAAAACAACAAGTCCACACCTTGACCGGAAAAGTTTCAAAGACCTGACTGAATTTTTTTTCTATATATATACTGTATATATTTTAATTTTAATTTTACGAAATATTCACAAGCAATTTATCAAATAGATAGAATCCCACAATGTGCTTTTGTGGAATAGATAGTTTTTTTTCTTTCATTTCAGTATTGAATAAACTATTCAACAGGATTTTCTGAGTTATTTCTGATTGCAGTCATTCTCTTATTCAACATCCTGTTGTAGAACATCTTTGCTAGGAGTTATCTAAGTGTGTTTTTACAAAGCAGCTACAGTAAGTGGGCTTTGACTCAGTACTAATGAATGGCCTGCAGCTCTATGGCCAACCACAGGTCCTGTGAGATTGGTGAAGACGCTGACAGGTTATTGCTCACTGTCGACAATGAGAGGAAGTGAGCTTTATTATTAGAAAGTGCCTTGTCCGCGGTGGACATTAATTTAGCTTCTACATATCGGTGCAGACGTGGGGATGTAAATCACTTCAATGAAGAGGTGGTGGTTAAAAACTTGAAAACACTTAGAAAGATGGCAGTGGTCACTGGATGAAGGTAAACTTTCTTCTTATTTACCAAGAATGAGCCTTCGTTTTTACATCAGCAGCAGATCCTCTCTACTGCTGCCACCATGTTTGATCACCATGTTCTTACATTAGCCCTCAGGACTAACACTAATGATGACTGGAGGCTACCATATGTTCACGTACATGCTTAGACAGCTATAATAAAGTAGACCATGACACGTGCTCTCTGACTGGATGTCTCTAACTCTTATACAGTGACATTTGCTGAATAAAATTAAACATTATAGTCACTTTTTTCCAACAAAATTATTGTGAGAGAGCATACAGAAGTGTGCTGAGTGTTCCTGCCTTACATCAAGAAGGTCACCAGTTCAAGTCCTGGTGCTAACTAATGCTATTTCTATATTGGCTGTGTGTGAATGTGTTTTCCTCTATACGTTATCAGTCAACAGGCAAACTGCCCAGGGTGTACCTCTCCCTCCCTCAATGCCTGCTGGGATTGGCTCCAGCTCTCCTTGAATGAATCTAGAAGCCATAGCTGCTCAAGGCTCAACTGGAATGGGATTTTTAAACAAAATATAGACTAAACAGACCTATAACGTTGATCCAGATCCTTTTTATGTTATATTAATGTTGTTTTGTAAGATCACCTATGCAAAATGGCTATTAACATGTTAGCTTTTCACATCCTCTTATTGAGGATAAATAAAAAACAATTTGTTTGTTTTGCATAAAGGTCTGCAACCTGTGGCTCCTCAGTCACATGCAGCTCTTAAGCCATTTGCACCACATTTAGCCTAAATGTGTTTAAATAATCATCACTTATACATCTGACCAGTGTTTAAAGTAAACAGCCGATAGGAAAATGGTTGCAATTTTTTTTAATTAATTATTAATTAATTAATTAGATGTCACACTAAATCCTCAGCATCAACTTAGAAAATGCACTGCAATGATTCTTGTATGTCTATAAATTGCTTTTTGTTAGTTTAATTAAAAACTAAACCAAATTTGGCTGTTGCTACTGACGGTACTTTAGCAATGTTGCATAATTCTGTATTTTGTTTAAAATGTAAAACTCTGTTTAAACATTCACTTCCAAATAGTCCTCTGCTGCCCTCACCTGGTGAGCAGGACACATGACGTCCGCTCCATTTGCCAGTCTTCAGGCAGGTGCGGCGTGAGCTTCCGGAGTGGTGGTAAAACGTGGAGGCACACTCGTACTCTATGTGTGTGTACAGCTGGTGGTACCCCGGGGGCAACTGTGGGAGAGACGGAGGACCGTGTGTGGGAGAGTCAGACTGCAGCTGTGGGGCCAGCACAGAGGAGTAGAGCCTCAGCACAGGTGACTTTCTGATTATAGTAAGAGTGGAAAAAACAGTGGAGCGTAACTCAGTGTGAATCAGTTTTTTGCAGTACACGATGCAGTAGTGGATAGTGTCCGTTTGACAGTGTAAACCCACCTGAACGGAGTCTGAGGTGGAAGAACTCTTTGTTTCACCAGCTCTGACACTTTGGGCTCACGACATGCTGTAAACAAAGATGCACAAATTATTCCTATGAGAAAATGCACAAAACACAGTACTGCTAACATCGGATCTGATTAGTTCAAGATGTGGACAGGGACTGTGACAGTTAAAACTTGACCTAGCAATTATGCTATTAGGCTAACAATCTAAGAACCTGACACATACTCTGTCTTAAGGTATAGAGTAAACTTGAACCTAGTGAGGACCCACTCATGTTGACTACCTGGCTACAAAACTAGCTTGTGTTTTTAAAGCTTACATCCATGACTATCAACTGGCGGCCCATGGGCCAAAACCGACTCGCCAAAAAACTCAAATAAATATCAGTAAGCACTATTTATATATACATTAAAAATATGATTATTTTATTTTATTTTAACATGTGGTCCCCAATGTGTCTGTTCAGAAAATATTTGCCCTCTGATGAATGTAGTCGCTGACCCCGGGCTATATGATATGAAGTGTAAATTAGTCTGGTTTTCATTTTTAAACCTCTGTAGATATTTTCAGAAATGTACCTTCTCACGGACATCTCCGCATTGTTAGTATTTAAGCTAATTATAGAATGAGTGACAGAGCAGGCGACAGCACCTCTGAGACACAGCGGTTGTTTGCCACTCCAGGTGCCATCCGGCTGGCAGGTACGTCGGGCATCTCCGCTGAGAACATATGAGTGGTTACAGATGAGCTCCACTGTTTGCGGCTCCAACCCTGGCACCACCTGGTGGTAGCCATGGTAGAGACGGGGGTGAGGAGGACAGTTCTTCTCTGCAGGAAGGGCAACAAGGAGGAGTTAACGTCAAAGTCACGGCAAATGACAAGTACAGGTGGTCCTCGGTTTACGATTCTCAACCTACTGTGTTGCATGGTTATGTCACCATTTTCCGTAAATTAATTAGGAAGTGTTGTTTCATCATTCGGATGTTTGCACAACTGGTTAGAGGGTGGAGCAGACAATTACGTTGTTATATATGCGCTATACGCGGAAGATGGCTTTTTTTTACATTCCCCAGTTGTACACCATACGTTTGATTGTGCTACATTAGCTTTCTTCATATGGTCTTCATTATGGCTCCCAAGCGTGAGTCAGTCCTAGACTACATTACCACTGTGTAACCATATGAGTTCCAACTAATGCCAAAAAATCGATTGCATCGCACGTAAGCCGAGGACCCCCTGTACCTTCCCTCTTATTAGTGTTTCTCTCTTACCGGTAAAGCTTTGGTTTTTTTCCTTCTCTTTTTCTTTTTTCTTCTCTTCATTTTCTTTCTCTTTGCCCGTGTCCTTTGCTTTCTCGGCATTAGTCCCGGCCGTCTTCTCGTCCTTAACCGTTGTCTTTTCCTTTGCTCTTTCCGGCTCTTCGCCTCCTGCTCTGTACAGAGTGTACTGTGTGATGTTCAGCTTCGTGGGAATACTTTTCTTCTCAGTGTCTGATGAACCTATAGTGTTATTTTCTGGCTGTAACTCCTTCACCGTATGTGAGACTGTGCTATTCTTAGATATTTCTATTTGAAATATCTCCACGGTGTTCTCGGCCTCAGACGTCACTCTCGTCACTTTGGTATCATTGGGCCCCACTTTGTCCCTGTCCTTCTTACCGTTTACCTGCTTCTCTTTCCTTTCCTCCTCTTCCTGTCCTTTATTGACAACAACTGGGTCTGTGATGTCCTTGTCTTCATTGTCTGTGTCTGTGTTTGTGTTCGTGATGTCCTTGTCTTCATTGTCTGTGTTTGTGTTTGGCTGTTTAGTTCCCTCGTGTTCTTTCTCTTCAACTGTGTTCAGGCTGTTCTCAGCATCTTGGCCTTTCTCTGTATCTCTGCTGCTTGCTGTCGGTTTCTCTGAAGAACTTGTTCTTTCCTCAGGTTCTCCCTCATCCCTATCTTCACCCACAGATTTCTCCTCAGTGGCCGTGGTGCGTTTGTCATCTTCATCTACTGCTGTTGCATTTTCATGACTAGTAGCAATGTCTTCACCATCAATGCTTTCATTTCCCCCGGTTGTGTTTTCTTGGTCGTCTTCTCTGGTTTTATTGGTCTTCGTGTTATCACTGATGTCTTTGGCTTGGTCTACGTCTTTTATAATGTGTTTGTCTTCTGTTTCAATGAGGGTGTTATTCACTATGGACAAAGAAATTGAACATCTTTACTCAGCTGAAGTTTGCCCTCCAGGTTGTCTCAAAGAACCAGGTTCACAAATATTTTAGCTGCTGTACAAAGATTTTTTGTGATTTACCTTTGGTGCAAACAGGAGGAGTCCCACTCCAGGTGTTGTTTGGGAGACAGGTTCTCTGGTTCGTCCCGCTGAGTTCATATGGCTGGTAGCAGAGATACTGCAGTGCTATGAGGACATCGTTAGGCCCGTAAACCAGAAAGTGGTCCCCGTGTTTTGGCTTGGGTGGTAGGGCACAGACTTTTTCCACTGGTACTGAAGTCAGGAAAGAAGATCAGACTTTTTTTTTCCACAGTTTGCACAATCACTCTGGGGCAGAATGAAAGCTATTTAAATACAAGCAAATCAAAGTGGGGCTGACGTCATTGTCTTACCACACGATGGGGCAGGGGCACTCCAGGTGCCATCGCTCAGGCACACAGCGGAAGAAAACCCTTTAAGCTCAAACCCAGGATCGCAATGGAAAGAAATGCGTGCGCCTGAGTGGAGGAACACACCCTGTGTGGAACCATGGGTGGGCACCGGAGGCCTGCGGCATCCCACCACTGAGTGAGGAAACAGACATGGCAGCATTTATATATAACACATCCTTTCTTTGTGCCAAATTAAAAGATTAGGGCATAAGAGGATTTTGGACGCCTCTCTAAAATCCCTTTAATGTCAGATTACTGTACCACCCTGCACTTAAAAAAAGGACACAAATTGAAAAGCGTTCCAGCGCTCAGACGTACGTAGTTCTCCTAATGTGTCCAGCATTTTCAATTCTTTGCCTTCCTGTCCAAATGCAAATGTGATTAAAAACAAAAAAGGATTTCTCATTGACTTTAAAACACACAGAGAGGAACAGATGCAATAAATATATCAATTTTTTCAAAAATCCAGTATAGAAGATTTAATGATTCGTGACTGATTCGTTACCCATGGGAATCAGACAACTGACGCAGCAGTTGTGGAATACCAGTGAATGACTGTTCCATGCAGCGGCCTATTCCGCACACAGATCACGGCTGTCATAAAATGAGGAAATTAGTGGGATTCGTCTTTAGTGTTTAGTATTGTGCAGTCCCTGTGTAAAATTGCAAATGTGCACCCAGATGCATTGTGGTTGTGGCCAGAACCGGGTTCTGAAAAAAGTCAACTGAACATTAACTCCGGTTATCATTTCATTTAGACAATCACTCAACAGTGGCCCCTCCGGTGGTTTTCCTCTCCATTGTTAATTTTTTCCAAGCCACAAAATACACAATCTGTGGATTTACAGTTAAAGGACACTCCCTGTAATCTGGCGTTTTGTCGTACTTAATTTAAAAGCCTCAGTAGATTCAGAGAGGAGAAGGCTGCAGGCCAGTTCTGAAGTGAAACACGTCAACTGTGGCTGACCTTACTTTCTTTTCTTTTCTTTCTTTCTGTTGTGCATTTAAAATGCCGTAGACATTTTATGATAATCTCCATCCACAAACAAATGGAATGTTAATCAAGTCTAACACAGATTGTAAGTTAATTAATAATCCAGTTTATTAATGGCCCGGCAGCCTAGACACTGCTCCAACACTGCTCCAAAAACAGATGAGCCACAAAATTAGATTTAACTGTGCCATAGAGAGGAAGAAGAAGTTCATTTATATCCCTTTGTGACTTCCAGTGTCACACACGCTGATACAGAATGAATTTCATCTCAGGACTAATGTGGATGACAGGATGATTACTGCAGACATTAAATACAGCTGATGTCAGAGCCATGTTTTAAACTCATTATCTGACTCCAGGGTTGAAACGTAGACTTGAATTCCACTGAAGAATGTGACTCACTTGCCTTAACTCAGTTTTTCCGTGGAAACTAACAGCGGCGATGCAGAAGAGCAAACACCCAGTAGAACTAAAATACCTGCATTCTAAGGGTTCCTTTTCAATGAACGTCCTGGCACAAGTAACATAAACAGAATTGTTTCGTCATTAGTCTCAGACTCAAATTATTGACCTGGAAACAAGGCTGTTAGGGAAAATTCAAGAAGTCTGTTTTTGCAAGATTTCCGAGAACTGTATTTGGTGGTCGAGATTTAGTCGCTCTTAAATAAATTACTATAAATTAGTCTGTGGGCCAGAATTGCTCCAGTGCCACACACTAGAAATAAATAACCAAAATGGCTGCCAAACAGAAATTCAACAACATACGTCTTTCATTGTGTGCAGTATGACATCATACATTCTCTGTTCTGATACATGTTCTTGTTAGTCAGACATAATTGTAAGGTAGTTCACGGTATTTATTTAGCATTTCTTTTAAACAAATTGTTTGAAAGTCATAAATTGTAGTGACCACAGAAGACAGTAAAGGCATATCTGGGTGGGATGCAGCCTAAACCTCAGACCTCTCTTTTGGATTGTAAACCACAAAAGTTCTTGTTGTAGCAACAACAGTTAAAAAAAAAAAGAGAGTTTTTATATAATGAAGATAATTCTCGGACAATTTGTGGTTAGCGGGTGTGCTTAAATACAGACTGAAAAAAATTGTAAAATAAAAGGGTTTTTGCTAGTGCAAGAATGGGGTGTTTTTCTGTGGTCTTTCTGGAGTTTAAACCCAGAGATTTTCTCTTTTCCTCACAAAAAAATGGAATCTCAAGGACATTTTTAAACTCTTGGAATTTTAATTTTATTGCAGACTCACCGTGTTCACACCTCTTGCCTGTATAACCAGCCAGACAAGCACAGTGATAGGTGTAAGAACTGTCCAAGATACAGGTCCCATCATGCAGGCAAGGGGAGGAGCTACAAGCTGTAAACACAAGAGGCTTATAATTAGGAACTGCAGTACAAAAAATATATATTACATTTAAATATACAACAAAAATAAATCCCAAAATGTTTTAATGACTTGGCTGTCCATGCAAAGCTGTTTAAGAGACTCAGAGCGAACACTGGTGTATTTATATGTTCCTTTTATATTCCTCAGGTGTGTGGCCGCTGCACAAATACCCTCTGTTTATGGTTTATTAGAGTTGGCTCTGCCCTGGGTGGGTTTCATGCACAGGATGTGTGCATATGTGTGTGCTTTTGAGTTTAAGACCTTGAGAGTGAGATCATTTTGGTAAAACGCCTCTTTCTCGATAGACCGATAGTGAGTTGGTCAAAGCCACAGGAAAGCTCAGAAATGCACTGTACTACCGACATGTAAATAACCGTGAAATGCTGGCTACGGGAGTCGCCCTGTTGCTGAAGAGGTTGAAATTCAGCCATAGACAGAAGTGCACAATAACTGACGCCGCAGTGAAACAATGAAAGGAATAAATCCTTCCATTTTTGGCTGCCTGTGCAGCTGGGTTGTGGGGAGAGTTGGAGGCCAGTTCATCACAGGGATGAAAAATATCGACTCACAGTGATGAATGAACTGAATTAAAGTCTGTTATGAAATTTTAATCTAATAACATTGTGTGAAGAACATACAACACAACAAAAAGCTGTGAGTAGACTTAGGGTTTGATCGAATGAAGCAAAGTAAATAATAACAAGAACTATCAAGTTCCAGGGTAACACATGGAACCTCTCCTTTCCTACCTTGTAGAGGCTTTTATTATGCAAACTATATTACATAGGGCTCACAGGATATAATTACAAAGTAATACAGTAAGTATTTGGATGATACAAGGGGTCCTCGACCTACGCATTTTCCGTCGCCATCTTCTATATATGTATTTAGAAAGTCTTGTTCCATCATTCCAACATATGGTATTTAAACATAAATACTTAAAGACGGCTTTGTTTACATTCGCCAGTTGTATGCCATACGTTGGATTGTGCTACATTTGCTTTCTTTCGTTGGTGGTTTTTTTTGGGAACTTTTTGCCCTGCATTATGGCTTCTAGGCTTAAGTCAGACTCTTCTGATTTTATTAGGTCCTAGATTTTCTGTGTTAGTGTAGGTGAGTGAGATCGGTATTCATGCACAGTATGCAAGTTCATGTTCATGTGTTGTGCTGTAGGAATGGAATTCCAACATAAGCCGTGTAGCCCCTGTAGTTTATTGTTCTTGACTTACAGTGGTAAAGAAACCCACCAGAGCTTTCTTGGAAAGTGGCGAAGAATCCATCAAAGTTCTTGTAACCATCCGACACAAACAGTAGATGCAAACTGTTTCCGGAGCTTTGGATTGGAGGAGGCCTGTTGTTTCCACAGAAACGACCAATGACCCTTGACCTGATGCTGTCACCATCTCGGACCTCCACAAAGTCGTAGCGACAAGAATGATGAAATTCCAGACTGAGCATCATGAACCTGTTCAGACAAAAATGAAAAGGAAAAAGAATTTGCCCCATTGTTGAACTTTCCGGCATTAAGTTTAAATTAGCTGGAGAAATGTTGTGGACCTAAGAAAGTCAACCAGAGACTTACATTGGTGAGATACTTTCAAGTGTTCATGATGAATGAAATCACTAGTGTTTCTTGGAAGAATATGCGCTGGCACAAAGTCATACAAACCTCAGCCAGCAGACAAAAAAAATGTGATCAGAAGAGTGGTGAGAATTACTCAAGACATTAACAGGCACGGTGATCTGGCAACGGTTACATACTGTGTTACCACAGTAGTCAACATTTATTAGAACTACAAGTTCACTACAAGTTTTGTCGAATTACACTCGACAAAACAAGAATTAATGGCGGATCTTGGAGGGTAGCATTCTTTCTTCTATTTGTTCCTGGGTAATTTCTTTCTCCCACAGTAAAAAAACATGTAGATTGGAGATTATGTTATAGGACATTGATAAACAAAGGTGTGTCAACAAATTTGATCTGTTCTTTAGCTGCCTTTAAGTATAAGTATGAGTGCACTCTGACGTTGGGGCTTGTAATATGGGAAATTACAGTTACAAAACGTAGGTAACAGTTCTGACTGTGTTTGATACTTACTGCCAGATAGATGAGGGAAAACACAAATAGTTCCCTTATTTTTCCTCAGTAATTTCAAATGCAATTACTTTGTCACAAGGCTGTAACACATTGAACTATAAACAGGACAATGTCACATTTATTGCTGTGTTTTTATCCATTATTACAGGCCTGTGAGCCAGGGAAGCTAAGAATAATGAGTCCTACAGCAATGACAAATCAGCTTCTACATCTACAGCTGATCTGTTGTTGTCTGTGAAGAACGATGAAAACTCTGACAGTAATTCTCCTAGTGGTTCATACAAAACTTTCCATTGTTTGATTTTTACCAGAACTGTTTCTTGTCAGTTGACCTTGAACATCGTAGCTGTGTTTTGTTTTGTTTTGGGGTGTTTTTTTTTGGTTCTTGTGTCATGCTTTTTGCTCTTCCTGCCTAGCCCAAATTTTAATCTAGGTCGATGTATTTAAGTTTTGATCTTTATTAGTCTTTGCGAGAGTGACAATAGAAAAGCCCTTCTTTGTCTTTCATCTATTGCATGGTGTTCAAAACAGGACCAGAATTCACACTGTGAGAAAGTATATATAATCTGAGTAAATTAAAAATGGAAGATTGTCATATCTTATAACGTAAAGGTTTGTCATATATTAATATCAAGGGATTATGCAAACGAAAATTATGTGCTGTTATAGGGTTCCTGCCCCTCAGTTTGGGCATCCTAGGCCTGAAAGACACCTGATATTGTAACTAAAAAAGTTATATTTATACATTTTTTCCCCTTACTTGAGTTCAATAGTAAAGGCACGGTCCACCTGTATGGTCCACTCACACCTTGCGTTGTTGGGGTAACTCTCCAGCACCAAGTGGCCCTGCTTTTTACGGATTATTCCACCACACTCTGAAAACACACAGGAATTTCATTTAGCCAAAAAATGGTTTTCTAATAAAATTTCACTTGCTGTTAGTTACAGCACATTTTTTATCTTATGGTTTGCTTTAGTGCCCATTCAAAGCAGAAATAATTACATTTGAGTCCCAGGATGACCTGGAAAAGCCTTGTGTTGTGCTCACCTACATAAATAACAATAAACACCATATGCGCTGGGCCAGGATTCTGCTTTTAATTAAATGTATCTCCCCTGTGCGCTGTAGCAGAATATTTTCATATTGAGAGAACTATACTCAGGACTCAACTATAATACATTATATTGTTTTATGGCATTCCTAAATGTTGACTCTGACTTGTCATTCAGCACATGGAGAATCTTCCAGGCATATGGCAGCATTCCAAGTTGGCACAGAAAGTGAATCAGCAGGGGAGAAAAGAACATTAAACGGTGGGCATTTGTTCTTTTGACAGAGGAAATTGTTTACATTAAAGCTGTGAACATTTGTGATTAGAGTGAGAGCACACTTACTCATGCAATCTCCACCGGACCAACCAGGACGACATTCGGTGCAGTATTTGCCACTGACAAAGAAGTCGTCCCTGGGACCCCATGTTCCATTATTACAGCGTTTACAGTTCTCAAAAACACTGCAGCCTGAAAGATGCACAGAAAAAATAAAAGAAATTTAGAGCCAATTATTTAAATATAGATTCTTCCCTCCACGAGGAAAGTGAAAGAAACAAATGGAATAAGGAAACATGTTAGAAAACTGGGTTTATTTACAGTACTTAAAGCAAATAGCAAGTGGCTAATAAAACAAGGAAAATATCACAAATAAAAGACTGTAGTTTTAAAAGCTCAGTCTATACCAGTGCAACCTTGGGAACTTGACTAAAGTGAGGCTGCCTGGAATTGGGGTCACTTGAAATGTCTAGCAATTAATTTTAAAAATATATATATACTGGTGAAAATATATATTTGCAAATAATTAGATACTAAAAAAAATACTGTTGAAAAAGTTTCATCATCCAGAGTCCAGTAATGGTTTCATCCATTTTACATTGATTCCTATGGGGAAAATAGTTTCAGTTTTTTTTTCAATTTTCTGTTCATGAAAGGCCTTCAGGAACAAATGAAGTTCCAAAACCGAGGTTCCACTGTACCTGACAAACTGCTGAATCTGAATGGACCTGTCATGTTTATGATTTTGTTTCAGCACATAGTAAATGTTTATATGTAAACAGTCAATATTTCACAATTTATCATATCACATTTTAGCAGCAGCACAGAGCTTACCATATGTTTTCTTATCATTACTGTATTCTTGGTGAACCCATTTAGCTTGCAACAACAAAATAAAGATAAAGAATGCTGCTCTCTACAATAGAAAGGAAAATAAAGAAACCTCTGGATACGGCTTCCTGTGAGAATGGATTTTTACTTCAGTTGCTAATCTGTCCGTGGGGAGTTGAAGAGCAACGCGTGTTGTCAGAAATGCAATTAATTTTAACAGCAAATGGGCTTTACTGTTAGTACGTGCATGCTGGAACTTATGGTTGCTAAAGGAAACTTCACAGTAACATGTTTTTAATGTTTAACCTGAATTCACACAGCTGGTTTTTCTCATAAAGACAGACGAGAAGGGAACCTGACGGGCAAACGTCATGTATGGAAAAAAAAAACCCCGAAGATGTCACACCTGTATTTGCAATCACACGTGGCTTCTGTATCACGTTTGCTCAGCTTTTCACATGTTTTTACTTATTTATTCAAGGCTTTCTGCATCCAAATGCGGTGTGCGCTCATGTGTGAGAATCAAAGCCACTCAGTAGCACACTCACAGGAGACATCAGACATGAAGAGATTTACTAAGTCATTTTCAGACACACCATTTGCCGCAACAAGAACAGCTGTGCAGCTGATAAGGCGGCACTTAGTCTGGCACACAATACAAAGCAGATACGGCAGATAATTAAGGAGGCGCACGTGCTCTACTACTAAGGTGGACCGTCAATCAAACGCACTCTAATTTTGACCAGGAGAAGACACTTTGGGAGCAAGGTATATGAAGTATTAATGAAGTTTGTACCTGGATGAATAATACAGGGGTCGCACTCGTTGATGGCATTGCGACAGCAGGGCACGGCGTAGCCCACCCGAGTCCCCTCCAGAGGACATTTACAGCGGATTACATCATACTCACAGCAGCCTCTGCACATAACACTCCATTCTGGACCGGGGCAGTTGTTGTACAGGTGCCTGTAATCTTAAAAAAAAACCCACACACAATACAATAACATCATCACCACTAACTGTAAAATTAAAAAAAATAAATAATAAAGCAAGAAATATTTGATTATGTAACCATTCTTGTATGAGTGGAAAAGCAGACGGACGGGGCAAACTGAGGATATGGAAAAATGTAAGCAGACACAAGTTATGGTCAGAGGAAGCCTGACTAAGTCTGGTAGGATTCTGGTGAGTTCAGTGTTTGTATCTGAGCTGCAGCTGTCTGGTTATTTACACTGCAGCCTCGGTGATCACCCTCGTTAGCAACCTCAACATCGTCCATGTGATTTGTGACGCATCTGTCAAATAGTAGAGAATTTAATTACCAAGTAGAGCGTGACCGGCTCTGACTGAACGAATGTGATGTTTAATTGCAGTGGAAGCCCGTCAATGTAAGGCTTTCGCAGCCTAAGAGGTTATTGTTGTGAGGCATTGCATTTGTAAACTGGAACAGACGGGAGGGAATTGATGGGGAGGGGCAGAAAGCTAGCAGACGGAGTGGATTAAATGACAGTATTTGTTGTTGGAGTTAGAATTAGTACAGTGGGGTGTCAAGACGCGAGTTACCCGAAATACAAGTTTTCCAAGTTACGATTGAGCAACTTTTGCAAGATTTGTGATACGAGGAAACATTGAGGTATGAGTGCTCAACCGAGCTCCATTTTTTCACTCGACTCTCTGTCGCGTTGTCGCTCACTGTCCTTCGCTGGGTTATTTTACCCATTTTTATAACAATAACATAAATGGTTTACTTAATTATTATTATTTTATCTTATCAATATATTTGTTTATATGTATGTTTTTGATGGTTGATGTTTTAATTAAAATAATTAATAATATATTTCTGGGTGTATTATTATTGCCCAGAGACAATGTCTCTGTCATTGATGTGGAACCCCAGGGTTCACCTCCTGGGCAAGATCAAATCCCTGTTAGGGCGGTTGGTACCTTCCAGTAGACTCACCACCCGCAGGAAGGTTCAGGGGGGTTGGTATGGTGCAGTGTGATTTGGGGGGCGGTCATAGAGACTGCTGCCCCGCGACCTGGTAATGGATAAGAGGATGAAGATAGACGGAGGGATGGATGGATGGATGGATATTTCTAGGGGTGCTGGAACAAATTAATTGGTTTTTAGTTACATTACATGGGGAAAATGTAAACCATATACGAGCGGATCGACAGACGAGTGCTGTTGTGGAACAGATTAAACTTGTATCTTGAAGCCCCATCGTACAGTTTCTCTCCTACCTTGTACCAAACACAGGTAACTACTACATCCATGGTTCCGTCCCTTATGTTCCAGTTGTTTACAAGAATTGAATACAGACTCATTTGAATGCAACAACGTGCAAAAACCACAATTGTGAATTGTCCAGCAGAGAGGTCGTTGTGCAATTTCACTCAAGTCAACTTCAACACGAGTTACATCTGGACTGCAGTTTCATTAAGTCCTTGTGTTCCACTGTTCCATGGGTCACTGTCACCGTGGACGGTGTTGTTTGGAAAACCCAGGCTTCGTTGGTGCGTCATCCATAGAGCATCCACAGTGTAGTGGTGACAACAGACTCTGTCTCTGTGTCACAGCGTGGGGTGGCTCTCAGCAATGATTTACTGTCCACACTTTACTGGCCAATATAGACCAGTGACTTACACAAACGTCATGACGTCACTGTAACCACCGCTAATGGATTGTTATGGTTCGTAAATGTTAATTTGCAACACTTTTTAACTCCGCTGATGTTATGCATTATCTCCTTTTTGTTTTACGGGCTTTTTACTTTTTGTTTTTCTTGTGAATATATTTTGACCATGTGAGACAACCACAAAAATCTGCAGCAATGGCCTTGAACACAGCTAATGCAGTGGGACTAAAGACAGTGCTTTGTTGAATGTAGAATTACACGTTACTAGGTGCGAAGTACGTAAACACTTAGTCTTATATTCTGAGCTTAAAATGTAGCCTGTACAATCTGGAGCCAGCATACATTATTCAAAGCAGTGGTTCCCAAAGTGGAGGGCGAGCACACCCATGGGGTGTTGAGTTATTACAGTGGGGGCAGCAAGCAAATGTATTGCATTGTCAAATTTTTCTTCAAATGGGCCAAGTGGGGGATTTGTCCTGGTGGGGGGGGTTGTTGTTCTGTAATCAGTAAATGTTATTGATTTGTTATCCATAGTGGAGTCTCTAGGACTGGGGCTGTCTCAAACCACTGTCTAAACTCCAGCTTTGGCCAACCCCCAGCACAGACCCCCATGGGAGTAAAACCCAGGATGCCAGCTTCTCTGTCACCACCTCAGGTCTGGGGCACAAAAAAACTTTGCTTTTCCTCTGATTAACTCCTTTAACGTTGTCTGCATTGTCATTTTATTTGTCATGTCCACTCCAAGAGGTCCGTCTTACGTCAGTGACCTCAAATTTGGATGAAGTACGACACGGATGTTCAGACTCAGGTCACTTCAGCATGACACGGATGTTCAGACTCAGGTCACTTTGAAAAACATCAGAAGCTCATCTAATTCTGGACCATATATGATTGGTTGTTTTTTTTTTTGTTTTTTTTTTTTTTGCATCAGATTTGAGCCACTTTTACTTGCCTAGTGAACGTAGTCTGTTAGTCGCCACAGTGATAATTAAAGAGGTTCACAGTGAAAGCAGGAGCTACTGGAGCAAAATGGTTAAAAACCACATACTTTTTTCTCATTATGATCTGCCGAGCTCTATTTTTACTGCAGCTTCTGTAGTCGTCCGTGAAGCAGTCCAGTTGGTTTGTAGCTTATCTCATGTCAAGACTGGTGTTACAACCCGGCTGTAATACCCAAGGTTGTTTATCATTTCCTGAGAAACCAATACCAGTCTTTGCAGGCTCTGTTTTGACTTATACTCTTTAAAGTGCAGCTGAAAACCAACCACACTTCCTGTGTGATCGGGGCCCGAAATGTCAGAGGCTGTGGATTGTCACGCTGAAACAACATTGGTTGCCCCCCCTTTGTTACAAGCTAATTAAACTCCTGGCTGTGTAAACTGAGGCCATTCGTTTCTTTGCATTGATTATTGGCACATGGTAAAAGCAGCGTTAACAAGGTGTAGTGCTCGCTACATGAGAAGAGTGAGCTGCAGACCACTCTCTTTCCTCGTGGGACGCATTTTCGCTGCCTCTTCGAGGTCTGTAAAGGACAGTGAGGGACAAAGTCTGATGGACATAAAAAGACCTCATAAGCTGCTCTGCTAATGTCATTATGGCTACTGTGTGCAACGCACTCCAAAGGGAGCCGACTGTGTTAATGGAGTAAACTCATACAAAGTCCTTCAAATAGAAAAGTCTGTTGAATCAGTGTTGTCTTACTACTGAATATTAATGTATGTCTGTGCAAAATAGAGATACAAGAATTACAGCATGTATTTACATTTGATTCTTGAGTCTTCTGATATTATTGTTTGGTGAATAACTGTTTATTTATTCATTTAAACGTGTTGTTCTACTTGTAGCCTTTAAAAACACATCTGTGCAGCTTCCAGGTCAACACCTGCAAGTCTCTACAGCCTGGACCGTAACAACTTTAGGTGGGATTTTATTGCTTTTTAGCAGTGTCTGGACAGGTGTGGACCCTCATGTACAGGGCTGGGCCATCAAATAAGTGGTTATTGCTGCAAGTATTAGCACGTGCACAGCTGTATCTTGTATTATTGCATAATACATCTTAACGGATTATGCATTATTACCTTATAAACACTCATACCTGACTTAGTTTGTATTGACTCAGGTATTTGTTTAAGCTCTTCCTAAATTGTGCATGTGAACCAGCGTGACAACAGGTTAGAGGTTCCTATCTATTCTATTCTATCTATTTTTCTTTTTGTAGTCTGATGTAAGCTAAAGCAGTGACCCCAAAACCTTTTTGTAAATGGTCGGTACCACAGATTGTTAGCACTGTGCTGATCGTTGGAAGGATCAGTAAATTCTTAAAAATAAAATATCTTTTAGACTGTAATCTGTTGGTATCAGAGTCTGAAAGACTTACTATTTAAAAAAATATGCAGCAGTATCGCTGAATGAAGAAATAACTGGATTCCCCTTAAATTAAGTAAATGGCTAATTCTGTCACTGCGGCCTGGAGCCAAATGACCCACAGAGAGGTACCTGCACACGGATAGGTACTGGTCCGCGAACCGGTGGTTAGGAACCCCTGAGCTAAAGTATTCCTATTCCTTTCCAAATGTTCTTCAGTCAGCATGTAAAAAAACAATCATTGAAAGTATATCAGTGTCAACGGCAACATTACTGATGACTCACTGCTGTGTCTCGAGGTTCTCCTGTGCAGTTAAATCTACAGGATCTGCTTCACTGCCCTGATGTCACTGACACCGACTGTTAGCGCTGAAGGCAGTGGAGTGGTCACGGTAATTCACATGTGACCTTGTGTCTGACCTTCCTGCTGGTTTACGGTCTGCATGAGCGCAACGCCAACCATAAAGTGTGACCAGTTATATTGACATTCCTATAGTTTTCAATCCTCACAGTCCAACACAGCTGATCTGATGTTCGTGGAAAAAGCAACATTGTTGAAGAATTGAAGCACAGCTATGAAAATGCGTTGCAGATGCTGATGTGACTGTGATAACGACTCAATTGCTGGACTTTGTCTCCATTTACGGGAAGTGACCTCTTCTCAGCTTGGCTAAAAATAAAACCTTGATGGTCAGCAGTTGTTTTTATTTTTATTATTTTACTAAATCAGCATCATCATGTGAGCCAGATCACTTTCAGACAGCGCAGGCACATCAGCCTCTCTGACAACTCACATCTATCTGTGCTCTGAAATTACTTATGATCACTGTTAAGATGAGGTTGTTTCTTTAAAGTATTGTATCATTTTTAAGCTAGCTAGCTCTTCAAACAACACCTGAAAGGCTGTTGGCAAATGCTTATGTCTTTATTTAGTATTTTATAAAGTGATCACTTTTTTATTCCAAGTCTCAGTTGCCAAAATAAAACAGCCACCGCAATAACAGATGCTATGAGGCAAGATAAACATTTGGTCTGACCACGGAACCTGCGGAGTCATCGTTAGGTATTTCTTGTTCCCTTTCATTTGTTGCAGACACAGTAGGTAATTTTCTGTCTCTATGGATTGCTCAATCAAAACAATAACAAAAGACAGGGTTTGGTGATGTGGACTCAGTTTCTCCTAGGTCTTAGTGGGAGCCAAATTATCTTCAAAACAAACTGGCCCAGTGACTAATAACAGTAACATGTCTCTTGAATTGGTTCAAGACCAAAAAAAAAAAAAATCCTCATGACTCTGCGCTGTTTGGCAGACAAAGGGATGTCGAAGAGCTGCCAGCATATGATCCAGTATATAACTATTACAACTAATGTTGTTGTTATTGACCCTGAGAAATGAACTAGACCTTTATTTGAAATTTAAATATTTCTACAAGTTAAACATTGCTGGAACTATCTGATACTGAAGTACAGTACTCAAAAAAACCCTCTGATTATGAAGATTTGTGAATTCTAGCATAATCAACACTACATATTTTCCTCTTGACGAAACGGTCATTTCTCACATGGGTGTTGTATGGAAACATCAGCAGATGTGAGCCCGAGTGTGTGGGTGCGTTTGCTATCTTTTCAGTTCCTGTCACCTACTGCCCACAACAGCTGTCTGGTATTTTGATGACGGGCGGATTTTACCCATCGTGGAAGTGGGGAAACTCCCAGTGCCGCAAGGCGGGTATTGAATGTATCTAAATCTAGCCCGATACAAAGTGCTGATCCTGTCGACCTTTCTTTAAATAGACGTTCTTCCTTTAGGAAGCCCACTGCCTACGTACTGAATACTTCATTTGACTAATTCTCCTTATTAGCGACATGTATGTAGTGTTATCTAGGTCAAACACAAGCCTGTGTTCTGCACCTTTAGCCCCTTGTTGAATGCTGAGTGAAATCGGGCGTCTGACATGATGTTTGAACCCCCACCCCCACCCCATCCTCCGAATTCTCAGACACTTGTTTTCCTGAGCATGAAAGCGAGTGTCTGAGCAAGAATTTGACTTGTTCTACGCCGGAGTTGCTGAATTAATGTGGAGGTTTGTTTTCACACGGCCCACAGAAGCTTCAAACTTCCCTTTGGACAGTGGACGGCAGGATTCATGTAGGTTGGGAATCTCAGAACAGGAAGTCTTACATAGATCAAAAAAGCCTCTATGGAGATACACATGGATTTTAACATTAACACAGGCGTCTGGAGTAACAGACATTTCCATGAAGTCAGAGTCTGCACTTACTCAAAGATTTAAAGGTGAGAAAAGTTGTCCAATTCGTCATCAGTCAATTATGGAAATTTTTTTTTTTTTATCCAGTGACTCAGCTGACAACGGCATAAGTAGGTAAATCTCCCAAACAGATGTGACTCAGTGAAGTTTGACACGGCTGTGTTTTGCCAAATCCTTTGCCACATTACCAACAAAACAAATTGAAAGTGTGATCCAACTCTGTGGTAACTTGGTTTAGAGGAATCAGCCAGAGGGCAGAGGTTTGCTTCGGTGCCCTTGGAGACAGTGAGTATTCTACACACTCCACAGCAGCGAGTGAGATGGATTTTTAAACGTGACTCATGTCTTCCTGCCACGGTTCGAGTGGTCAACCAGGGGTAAACACTCAAGAGTTGATCGCCATCTCCGAAAGAATTTACCAACAACAATTTAGCTTAAAGTGAAACTGAATCTGAAACAAGGTTATGGAGACGTCCGGCAGCATCCAAATGTTGCTCTTTTGTTCTATTCTCCATAGATCTACTCTGTGGGATTGCACTTCCATCTGGCATATGACTTTAGAAGTTTAGAAATGAAAACTGAACAAAGTAGAAAGATGTACAGCATGCAAAGTCCTTTTAAAGAATGGACAAAAGACAAATACACACACCTCCCCATCCCGCCTGCCTTTACATTGTACTTCATAGTACAGTTTCTGAAGTTGGAGCCAAACTTGTCGGTGCTGCTCCTACTTTTCAGATCACAGCCTTTGTGTTTACTTTTGTTCTGTTCACCAGCCCCACTGACGTCTTGTTGTTCTTTTAAAGGACACACGAGGAGAGGGGATGGACAGACTGCTGATGCACACTCTCTGAGAACAAAGACTATAAACCATGAGGATGTGAGTGAGAGTCAAGAAAGGAGGAAAAAAGAAGAGAAATGGAGTAGAAGACATCCTTGCCGGTGTCTTACCATATGGCCAGGCTCCCCCCTGGGGTAAGGAAATGAAGATGACGAGGGAGATAAAGAGGAGCCAGCCGTGCTTGCCAGAGATAAAGGTGCTGCTCCAGGTATTTTTCCCGGTACCCCCGCGGGTTTTCCCCGGCTGCAGTCCCCGTCCTGCAGACAGCATGCTGCAGTCTGGAACTCTGTTTACTTTCTGAACTCAGCTGACATCACCTTCCCCTGGCCCTTCAGTGGCTCCCTCCCCTTCTTGTCTCTCTCTCTCCCTCTCCCTCTCTCCCTGACACACACACATCTTCGTGGCTTCAGGTTACAGCAGAGCTATACAGGGAGTTCCACTTGTAGTGGTCTCCAGTATTCTCTGCAGAGGTCAGCGTCACTGTTCTGAATGACTGCGGGATTTTTTTGTTTCTTTTTCTCCATCTCTTAAACACACACTCAGGCTGGTTTCCATGAGCTGTGAGTACTTCACATAAAGCATTCCCCAACCTCTTACGCTAGGGGCCTCAAACTCCCGGCTTAGGGGCCACTTAGGACCCATGAAGATCCAACATCTGGCCCAAGTCTAAATGTAAAAATAAAATTACAAAATATTAAATTTTCTATTTTGCTCATGTGGATTTTTATCCTTTTCTATTTGGTGATTTAAGTTGAAAAAGTGGGGTATTTTGCTACACATTTTTAATATTATGGATTTAATTTGACAATTGTCGACAATTCCATTAAAAACCACCAGATAATGAACACACGAGTGGTTTCCTACTCTCTGGTATCTATGCCTGTTCGCCGATTAAACGATGAAGTATTCAGAAAAATCTGTGGGAAAAACACAGCCCCCACATTTGCTAATACTTCAAACGAAGACGACTTAAATGCAGCTATTGTTGTGGTGTTTGATCTACGGACACTTGTTTTCATTTCAACTGAGTGCTGAGCTGAAGTGAACTCACTTGTTGATTTTTGCTCAGTAGGAGCTAAAAGTGACGCAAGAGCTGACAGTGAACGCAGGTCACACAGCTGAGGACGGGGGAATCAAAACACAGTGAAACATCAAGATTCCTCTCTGTAGGCATTTAGTGAAACTGCTTAACAATTAAGAGAGTTCAGTTGCATTTCCTCATTCTCCTTGATAAAACATGTGTGGAAGCCACACTTTCCCACAGTGAACATTTCCTCCTTGTTTCTAATGTTACCTAATCAAAGGTCAGAGGTCAACATTCTAAACTAATGCTAATTATTTAAATGGTGCAGGACAAACATATTACAAAAGTAATTTCTATATTAGTTATAGCAACAAAATGCCTGAGACAAGAACATCAGTGCCTAAGAGACACACAGTTCCTCGGGATCCTCAGTTTACAACGTCCTTGACTTACTGCGTTTCGTGGTTAGGTCACCGTCTCCTAAAACAAATTTCACACAGGAACAAGTTGGCGAGCAGAAAACGGCTTTCTTTACATATGACGTTACATTGGATTTTGCCCTTCATTATGACTCCCAGGTGTAAGTCAGACTCTTCTGATGTTTTTATGACTTTGATTATGACGTCACCACTGTGTTAGTGTAGGTGAGTGACACAGGTACTGATGTACAGTATGTCAGACTTACAGCAAAAAAGTTATGTTGCGCCATAGATTTGGAATTCCGACATAAGTCAAGGACATCCTGTAATTACAAGGGGGCAGATGAATGGGCATTTCTACAGAAATAACAGCAGCCTGCCGATATTTCTAGTGAAATTCGCCAGAGGGAAAGAACTTTCTCATGGCATGGCAGAACATGTCCAACCATTGTTGCATTATAGACACGTCTCATTTGGCACCAAAGTGACTGTGGTTGATCAAAAAGAATGGGGCCCTAAACTCTCGGTAACCCGCAGATGAATGAAGTAGTGCACTAAGGACAGAACAAATTACCCAGAAACCATTAGGTTTAATGAGCGGCGAGGAGAACTCACCCTTGGCTGCACGTTAGTTGTATTACCTTTTTACACAGGGTATTTTTTACAGTCCAGAAAACGTGTCCATTCAGTGGAATTACCTAAAGTGTACTCTTGTTTGTGTTTCATCTTGGCTGCCATGTGTTTACTCATTGGCCAACACAAAAGATGGCGTCTAACTGTTGGCATGGTTGCCAAACTTTTCCAGGAGGGGGCCCCACCACTCAGCTTTGGTCCTGACAGGGACAGTGTTTGTGCCAGCAAATGTAGCCCACTTTGTCACTCTCCGTCTGAAGGTCTGAATATGGCATGCGCAGACACCTGTCGAGTAACAGTTTTGTATATATCATACGTCGTAGATGCACAGCTATTCTTCACAGTGTTTCCAAACAACAATGTTCAGGCTGGGTTTGCAGTGGAACGAATGTGTGTGGTTGTGGTTGTGGGTGTGTGTAAGAAAGATTGACAGAATGACAGGTAAATTATTTTCTTGAATTCAGAAGTTAAGGCTTCTCCTTCCATCCCTCCCATGCCTCCCTGGTTATACAGCTTGCATCACTCGCCTCAGCTCTGCTCAACCTCCCCTCACTCACCCGCCCATTGAAAACCACTGAATCGTGTAGTTAAAAAAAACAAAAACAGAATCAAATCATGGCATGGCATTCATTCAATTTCCTAGGTAACAAAGTTGATACAGTGTAAACAAGAGCACCCCCGCCCCCCATGTTTAATTAGGTTACTCCATCATGGCAGGACCTTTTGTTTTGCATTGCACACTGTACTGTGGATCTTTTTAACCCACATGTCTGCAGCAGTAACTGTTGCCAAAAGTAGAGTCGTGACAATGTGCAGTTTAGTTAGCCATACTACAGGGTGGTGTCACACCAACTACATTTGCTGGAATTGAGAAAGGACAACTTGTCTTGCTTTATCTGAGACTTTCAATGCTTTTCTATCCGGACATGTGTGCTGTTAATGAGAGAGTTGGGAAAAATAGAAAACAGTCAAGATGAACTATATGTGACGTCATGTGGAAGCAGTAATGAGGCCAAATGAATCGGTGCCCTCAAGAAGGATTTTTTTAACCTACTCTATAGTAGCTCAAGTAATTGAGTCAAAGACATCTGATGTAGTTTTAACTTTCATGTAGCCACTCTTCAAGTAGAGCCACATTTGAACACGTGACTGGCTTTAATTTACTGCATCTAAACCCAGTCTCCATGCAGCAAGTGATGCGATGTCTGTACCAAGACTAGGATTTCACCTTCAACTTTTATATCTCATACTGTAATAAAGCTTCCATATGCTGGAGATAGCATCAGCAGCAGGGGACGCATTACAGTAAAGATTATGATGGCATCCAATAGATAGCACACTAGAGGCATTGTGCAGAAAATCTGAGCATATGCACATGCGTGTGTAAGCTTTGAAGGGACGCTCTCAAGAACTCTGTGACCTCTTCCATATGCCCCACTGAGTCCAATGGTAAACATTATTTTCATTCTTTCTAAGACTGAAAATAATTGTAAAAATCTTGTCTGTAATGCTTCTCCAGTATTAGGGATAATGGCAGACATTACCTGTTAATGATATGGACAAGAGACAGGAGCTTGTGTCTGTGGACGCCATAAAAAGTTGATACCATGTGGGAAATCTCCATAGCTGTTCTGGCGTTAACAAGGTCCTATTTTAAATTGTAGTAATATATGATTTAAAAAGTGAAAATTGCTCCTGCAACCGGGACTAAAAAGAAATTACTAAAAATGCAGGCTCCTAATGGTCACTGAGGTCAACAGTGACAAACTATTCAAATTCAAGAATCACATTTTTTATACAGAATTTTAAAAGCACAACAATTTATTTTTCTTTCTTACAGACTGCCTGCAGTACTTGCATAGCCAGCAGGGGTCTGTCTTTTAGAAATGAATGCTTTATATTTTGTGCATCATCTGGTGACAAAAACTCAATCTTGGTGGATGGATGGTTGTCACAGTATTTTATAACTCCATTAAAATCGTAATATTCCATTATTCTGGAACATTTCATGGAAGATTCTGTTTTCGCGATCACAGTATCTGCGCTGTAGTTAAAAAATACTCTTTCTGAACAAGGTTACCTTTTTCCTTCAGTACTGTAAGTAAGATTTGTCCCGGAATAACCTTCTGCCACATTACGTACAGCTTTAAAAGACCACAAATCTTTTCCAGCCGTAAGGTCGTAAATAGGCTCTTGGGATCCTTGCTGTTAAACTCTTGAAGTTTAATTGTAGAAGGGAAAGGACAGCTGGACCTGGTCTTAGTATGACTGGATGGTTCTTCCAAAAAATGCTGACAAAGTTCTTCACTGAGGGTGAATATAAATATCGCTCTACTAATGGAAACCTCAGAAGGAAGGCGATGGAAAGTGTGGTATGCAAAAGGAAACTTTCCTTCTGCTCTTGGTTCCAAGAAGGAGTCAGAAGGACTATGTGCAAAAAAAAAAAAAAAGAAAAGAAAAGAAAATCAGTCTTCTGCATATTTTGTCTGTCGGACAGTTGCATTTCCTTCCTCTCACTCATGACCACGAGGGTCATTGTGTGTGTCATTGTCAGGCACGCAACATCAGACAACTGCCCCACTCAAACTGAGTTTGTTTTGCCCTACCATGACAACCAGTGTTTCTTTTTTTTGTTGTTGTCCTCTTCCTGTTACTGTTCACTGTCAACCACCAGGCTCCATCACTGCGGTGGAAATTATTCGGTTAGATGGATAGAAAAAAAGAATCTAAGACCATTGGGCTGGATGATGTCACTTTAGGAGACCAAGAAATGGGACCACGAGGCTGTTTTATAACACAAAGCAGCCAATCAAATGACATTAACAGGAACATAACATTTTACAGCCTATCACATCACATTATAAAGTTTTCTAGAACCTATCCAAGTCCACGTTCTCCTCTGTGATTTCTCCGACTTCTGTTTTTCCGTTCAACTCTCCATCAGTCTCCTAACTGGCGTCCACTGTGAGCAATGGAATTTTTTGACAGGTGGAATTTGCAGCTTTGCAGTACAAAGTCATTTAATTCAGGAAAATAAAAAAAGAACAAAAAACAAACAGGAGAGAGATCTTGCTCTTTGTTTCACGTGCCAGGCTGCAGGATGTAGACAAGAAGCTCCACCCATTTGGCATTCGATCTGTATTTGTAGCTGCATTCATTTTGGATTTAGTCTAAGGAGAGGGTCTGTTGTTCCTTAGCCTTTATGAGAATTAGGCTTGGTCGTGGAGCACATCTTAGCTCAAACAAATGGAATGCTGTACATAACTTTGGGATTAGGATGGCTTTATTACGGGTGGTGTAAATATGACTAATGGATGGATAACTCCGGGATCTTTAAATCGTTGTTGTTTTACATATTCAGCAGTGACACAGGAGTTTATTTGTAACTATTATTGCAGAATGAAATATAAATTTCAAGTTCATATGACCTAATTGTCCCACTTGTTTTTTTAGCTTTTCAGCTGGATTCCTAAACCTAACGACTTGAGGTGTTAAACCTCCTGCAATTCCTCGAGGAGTTCAAAGATATATAGCGGCCTCTAGTGGTTACTTTCTAAACTATCTTTTATCAACAACGCAACATTCAGTATGTCACGTGACACTTAGTTTGTATGACTTCATTAATACGAGTACTCTTTCTCCTTTTACTTAAACATCATAGGATTTTCAATTTGATGTTTGTTAGACGTGGCAGCGTGGTCTGTAATTACTGATGACTTCTACTGACAGCAAAGCTCGGCTCTTATACATTTTTTTCTTTCAGATCTGTTTCATCATGCTCATCATCATGATCATCGCGATTGGTCAAAACTGACAGAAAACACATCAAAGCATGTACTGTTCCTTGTTCAACTGAGGAGACGTCAACATCAGTATTAACACATCAATGTACATGTTCACTCCACCACTACGTCCGTCACTTAGTTCAATTTCATTCATCAAGTTGATAAAAGTGTCACATCTTAATATTATGTAGAAAGACTGGGGATGACTTTGGTATTTTAATGTTGTTATTGAATTTGAGAGGTGAGCATAAATATAGACAAATAATGGATGAAACTCAAGACGAGTTTTCCGGTTTCCTCTGTTGTTTATTTTTACCGCCTCTAGAGGGAGTCAGAGCCCACACGTCCAGTGGAAGTCCTTCACTTGGAGACATGAGAAGAATGTAAAAAAAAGAAAGAAAACTCCTTGAGCAGTGCTTCACAGACTTGATGTTGATGTTTTGCTGCTAATTTCCTATAAAAATCCATATTAATGGAGGAAAAGTAAGAGACTAATTGCAGCACATCACTTTGTAGTGTTTCACATTAAACACCATTATTTGCACTTCCGTCGGTTTTAAGCATATTGATCGACTCATTTCAGCAGCTAAGTGGAATCAAAAAGGCCACAGCGAGAATCTCTGTGGGATATGATTGCGAGTAATGGGCCCTGGACTGGAAGAGTGCATGATGGGTAAAACTCTTTCTGATGTCATTTCATTATTTATATACCTAACAGTGAGTGAGGGTTGGCTGTTTGATCACTTCTCTTTTCGCTTTGCCACTACTTTCCACTTGAATTATTTGTCGGGCCTTTGTTGATAATAGCAGTGATCATTTTTTCTTAAACAGCATAACATACAAACTGGCAGACAACAGAGGTACAAACTTGTCCCGAGGGACACAAATCTATCAGTGTGCAGTGTCTATCTACTACATTAAAGCCTTCCAGGCAGCGGTGACGCGGCGGAAAATAAAAAACGACAGACATCAAGGCCTAAGGAAAAGGCTCCACAAGGCCACGGCCATAAAAGATCAGGCTTTTGTGCTGTAGGCATCCACCAGGGAAAATAAAGTTGCAATCAAATGGCAACGGCTTTGACAAGAACCTTCTATCTGTGCTTTTAAATGATGTCGCGTGTGAGCTCAGTCAGAGTGATTTTCATCTCTTGAACACACACCACCGTAGTTCACAGAAATACGAGACGCTGTGCCCAGCAAACAAATCTGTCCAAAGGTCAGATGTTCAGCTACCGTCCAGATCACTTTTCATCTACTACAAACTCATCGGGAGCAGGTAAAAGCTTCCTGGTGATTATTCCAAATCTGAAGTAATGGTATTCACGCCTGCCTGGCAGCTTTAGCTCAGAGGTGTTGTTCATGTGGCGTGTTTGTTTACCCTTCCCCCTAGCAGGGTTCTGTCAACACAACTAGCCCTGTTGTGAAAATAGGGGTCAAAAGGTGACATTTAGGTCCAGGAACCTGCCCACTCTTGCCATACGACAGCATGGGAACTTTTACAATGGAAGATACTATGAGCAGAAACTTTTTCAGATGCTTTTAGGTTTTGTAATCTGTTTAAATGTCCTATATGAGCTCCATATGGAACAGTAGTGTGTTATTGTTGCATCTACTGCCAAGTTGATCTCTGCTGCCATATGGACTGATAGATGGTCCTTTTTAAAAAAACTGAGGTCCAGAAAACATCAGAGAAGAAATTAATGGCTTTGAAGCATCACAACCAGATGAGAATATGCCAGCGCTACAGCTTCTAGACAAGTACCATCTGTTTACAGTTTGTCACATATGGGAACCAAATTAATATTTTACTGCCAGACTTTTAATCAGGGTTTAGACTAAAACTTGAAATACCATGCTCCTCACAACGGCGTCCTTCCATACGAGCATATTTAGTTAGAGATGAATCACAACACCTAAGACGTTGGCGTATACACACAGTGACAAATAAATCACTTTCAGATGCTCATTTCTGTACATCTGCAGCTCAGTTCTCCCTGCTCTCCATGACAGTGAGGTTGATAGGCTAAAATGGCAAACTGTTTCTCATTAGTGGTTGCCTTGACTGGTTAGAACTCTGGATAGGGTGTGGAGGAGTTACAGTATGAAAGGGTTTACATGCAGACTTTCATTCCAATGTGATGTGATAAGAACGAAGTCTTCTCGCTGCTTTCCCATGAAACGAGTAGCTGCCGATGCTCCCGCTAAAGAGGTAATAGAGTCGACCTGCAGCCGCTAATTGGACATGATGTGAGGCCCCCTTCTTGTTCGTGGCTTATGGAGACAACACAAACACAACACTCTGTATTTACAGTTCATCATAAGTTGAACAAGTTGTGCAAGGAGAAGGTAAAAGCATTAAGACAAAACGAGAAAACATTCCGAGTATTCTGTCGAAGGCTTGCAGGGTTGCAGTGAATGGTAAACGGCACTCATTGTTGGTTTTGTCTCACGCTCCGGTCCCAGGAGAGCATCACCTGTCTTATTAGAGGAACAGCTTTAGGAGACATTGCATAGTCTGCTCGCTGCTCCTGCGGCATCCCTGTCTCCCACAAGGAGAGAGCTGTGGCTTAAAAAAAATACAGCAACCTGTAAATAAGCAAGATTTAGTTTAAAAACATATCTCCGGCAGTTACCAGGAAATTATGACAGAATCTAAGAGAGTGGATACGGAGTCTGGTTTATGCAGTTTGTTCAATATCACGAATCTGCAATAGTGCTGAGCAGATTGTACCTCTGTCAGTGGTGCAAATGTCTTATCTCCCAAATGGTATAACGTCAGGTGTACTACAGTTAAACTCTGCTATTCTGTGCTGTGGGATTCACTTGCTGGGTTTCTTGAGCAGATGGTAATATCCCAGTTGCTGTATTTAAAGCAGGTTTAGTGTGCACATAGCCTAAATTCCAGCATACTAAATGAAACCTCCACATTTGCCTGCTGTTATCTGCTCCGTTTCCATATTTTTAATAAACAGATAGAACTGCACACATTTGAAAAAAAACAAACAAACAAACAAAAAAATCCCCAAACATTCTGATGGCTTTATTGGACACATGAACTAGAAGATGATGAATTTCTCCCAATCGATCTCAACATGAATCCCCGGAGCTGCATAATTGTCAGACTCTGTGAAATAATCGCAGCTTTCAACACTAATGGAAGCTCCGCACATTCATTATTCAGTCCAGGAAACAGAGTGCTGCAAAGAGTGGAGGGAGCTGTGAGTTATTGCCCAGTGTGAATTAGCCCTAGAATAAAGGGGATGTTGGACTTTCTCTGCCTTAAGAATTCCCCAGTCCCTTAATGTCCCCTCTGTGCCTCTTTGTCCATCTGCACATAGGCAGACAGGCACCACACAGAGAAGCCGAGATTGTGTCACAGCTGTGGCCCCGGTCAGACGACCGGTGATGGGTGTACGGTGTCGCTGCGGGCAGAACGACAGACGCTCTGGACTCTCCCGTGTCACCGCCACGTTTGACCACGGACAGACATGAGTAGTGGATGAAAGCTTTCCCCATGTTACAGCACCCCTGGGACCACTGCAGGATTTACGAGAAAGGGAGCGGGAGGAATGCTGCTGGAGGGGGTGATTGAGGTGGGGTGGACCAATGAGTGGCTGAGCTGCAGATAACACATGGCAGGAAAGAGATAGGTTTGATATGTGAACATGCCCACACTTGTGCTCGGGGAAAGGCACACCATCCACCATGCTGGTGCAGACAGGGCTGGCCATTACAGTAACCTGGGACTCCCCCAAAGCAGTGCACATCAGAGAGAATGTGAGCAATGCATCATAAGCCTTCTTTATTTCCTCTGTCTAGACTATACAAGTCTCAAGTCTCACCATGTAGACCGAAAAGCTCAGGAAGGGAAAACACTTTGTCCTTCGCTCATCCACTTTCATAACTGCATTTTAGGGAGTGTAGATTTGCAAAGTCTCATTTGTTTAAAAACAGCAGATGGGTGAAAAATCCACCTTCACAGAAACCTACGCTTTTACTCCAACCCCTGGGAAACACATACTCAGCCATGCACCACTAGCCTCCACAAACCCTTTCTGCAGTGAGAGAAATTGTAAATGTGTCTCTGCCTGCACTCAACCAGAGGATTTTTAATTCCCTCTCCACTGCCGCCGCTGTCAGTCCGGAGCACAGATTTGAACATGTATTACGAATTGGACAAATTATTTTGCTGATGGTGAAATACCCTTGGAGGTTCCATTCAGCAAAGGGGAGCCGTAGGATACATGAGAATAACAAGTCTGATCAGTGTCACTTCACCTGCCGGGCTGTCTAACACATTTCCTGTCTGTTTTAATTTATGTATTTGTCTCACAAACATATACGTACATGTATATAAAAACCCACGAGTACCAACATGGAGGAAATTGTTCAGGACTTGTGGCCTTTAGGGGACGTTCAGTTTTGGTTTAAGTAAGTAAGAAGATTTTCCTCAAACTGTCTCTTTAAATCGGGGTGGATTTGTCATACATGTGTGTTGCTATTAAAAATAGCCCAATTAAAGTGATGAGGAAACTGGATTTCATGAGAGTGTGTGAAAACACTTACGAGCTGAATCACTTACGGATGTGAGAAGATGTTAATGAGGAGAAATTTAATGAGGCAGATGTGATATAGGAGTTTAACGGAGAGCATCTTCATTTGCTTAAATAAAGCCCACCAAATTAACGAAAGTCAGAAAAAAATAAAACAAGTGGGTTTGTTAATTTAAAAGACATGTCTGGATTCCCACAAACTGACAAAATGATTTGTTGTGTTCACAACATTTTTGTTATACACCACAAATATTGGAAATCGGGTGGGTCTCGGAATGTTTGCTCGAGCTTTTATTAAATGAGCCAAGCATGGAGTCCTCGCTGTCAGCTAATAAATGGTGAGTTATAGCAAGAACAACTGTGACTGTGAATGGAAATGAGCGAAGTCACACACATTTTCAGTATAAAAACAGCTGGGTCAAGACAAGGACGGAACAGGTTGACTGTTATGTATCTTTGTTTTTGTGGGTTCCAGTGCATGTGATCCCAAAACAGAAATAAACAATAACATCAAGTGGGATTCTGTGGGATCTTGTGCCCCCCGATCATCAGCACAGTGGAACATGTGGTCATTGAGACTGTCAGGTGATAGTGGCGTAGTGTTCAATATTATGATTTTTTCTTTATTGTCCTTTACTGAGGGTATCAATTAAAGTAATCATACATAAATGATACCACGTAATACTCCTGACATATACCGATGCATATGCAGCTAACCCTTTAAAACCTCTGTACAGAGCTCAACCCTCAGCACACACACACACACACACACACATATTGGAATGAATACTGTTGAGATTGTACAAGTTGTACAATACGATCATTGTAGTATGCACAACATGATATATTTTAGAATAACCTTCCTATCTTTGATAACCTTAAATAACGCTACACTGTGTTACACTTGTATTTTTGGGGCCTTAATATTTACAATATTATTTCTTAAACTCAATCTTCCAGCATCAGATTAGTTTTGGTCCAATTAGCACCGGGTTCTGGGCTTGACAAGGTCAGCTGCCGATGATGTGCTAAAGAGACGCACATACACATACGCTTGTGCGCACGCACGTACACGCAAACACACCGCGGTGCGGTGCACTTGCTCCGCTCTTGTTTGAACCTCCTTCCTACGATCCGCCCACCATCTCGGGACTAAAGTCACGTGTCTCACCGCCGAGTGTCTCTGTTCGAACCAAACCACAGCCTCACAAATCAAACTCATCCAGAGCCAGCCGAGGGGAGAGGACAGGAAGGATGATAACGATGCTGAGAAACGGAGGATGAGCTCGGACAAAAGCCACGGCCACGTCACTGGGCTGCAGTGAGAGCTCTCTGTTTCCCGCAGAGGTGGACTATACGAGCACACATCGGAGCGGGACAAGGGATGAGATTCAAACCGTGTGGGAGGCACTCTCCTACAGATCTCAGTCCGACTTTGAGCCGCAGAGCTTCGGGTGTGTACCGGACAAGGGCTGAGCAGCTCACAGTCTTGCGGAAACCGAATATTATTTGGGGGTCTTGATTGAATCAGTGTTTAGGAAAGTGCTCTTCAATATGAGGGCTGTTTCGGCAAACTTGTTCGCTCTTCTCCTCCTGTGCGCCCTAGCAAGTGTCTTCTATGTGTGGAGCCCAGTGGAGACCCGCCTAGAGCGGCACAAACGCAGGATCTTAACGCCGGGTAGAGGGTCTGTTCTCCCCGCTCTCCCAGCGGATCTCTCCGCCAAAACTTTCCGGGCTCTACTCGCTGTCCCAGTGGCACAAAGACAACACTTGGGGGGCAGACTCGAGGCGCCCAACCTCACCGATCAAACCGTCTCTGCTAGAAGTCGTCATTATCATAATAAAGGGGACAACACGAGGTCATCGCGGAGGGGGGGCACGGTCAAGTTGGGTTCCCCTGTGGAGGATGGGATATTTTGGGGTGAATGGCTGGAGGATCTGCGTCCGGTGGGCTTCACGGAAGAGTACGCTCGAGACTGGCGAGAGAGAGCCAGGACATACCGGATAGTGAAGCTGGAGCCGGGATGCGGCAGGATATCCAATCAGCTCGCCACTTTCGCCGATGGGACCAAGGCGTGTGTCCGTTACGGCATCAACGCGGACCAGGTGCAGGGAGAATCTTTGACGTATTATCTGGCCACTTTGCTCGGCATCACAAACCTGCCACCACTCGTACTGTCCCAGCTGAGTGGCGACAGTGAACAATGGGCGGCAGTGCGGTCGCGGATTAGTGGGTTACAGTGGAGTGACCGAGCCGTGGTTTCTCTCACCGAGTGGGTCTCCAACCTCACCGGCGTGGTCACACCCGCGCCCCTCAGACCGGGGAACGCCGGGCTGCGCCCCGCCGTACACGAGCTGCAGAACAAGACCAGAGCGGAACTGCTGGAACTCATGCAATGGAGCGACCTGATTGTGCTGGACTACCTGGCTGCCAACTTCGACAGACTGGTGAGCAATCTGTTCAGTCTACAGTGGGACTCGCGCGTAATGGAGAGGGACACCAACAACCTTCTGAAAACGCCCGGCGGTGATCTCGTGTTCATTGACAACGAGGCCGGACTGGTTCACGGCTTTCGGGTGCTGGACATGTGGGAGAAATATCACAACACGGTGCTGAGCTCCGTGTGCGTGTTCAGAAAAAGGACCACACTGCGCGTGGCGGAGCTGCACAGGCGCAGAGACTGTGGAAGGAGGCTGCTGGAGCTCTACTCAGACAGCGAGCCTTTGTCTGTGGAACTGGGCTTCCTCTCCGACGAGCACGTTGCTATCCTCCAGGACAGGATAGACAGATTACACAAACACATTTTGCATTGCAGAGCCAAGTACGGCCAGCTGTGATGGCGGACTGCTTTGTTTTGTCTGCACAGTACGACGAGCTCTGCAGATGCGATTGGTACACCTGTGCCGAACGGATGCGCACTAGACAAACTGCCCCGAGCATCCGGCTGAACTACCTCCCGTGAACAGAATGTGTTGTCTACTTTATGCATAAGTACATGGGACGTGTTGATGAGCTCCCTGCACACGTTTCCTCTGTTTGCTTCACAGAGACCAATGGGGGGAGGGGGGAAGATCCATGTTATCATGTCTTACTTCACTTCACAGGAGTTAATGTCAGCAGTATAAATATGACTAAAATGTCATAGTGCTGTCTATTGTTTGGATTTTTATGCTTTGTGTTTAGAAATCCTTTAAGCCTTAATGTTAAGATAACTGCTAAATTTGACCAAGTTCACATTACCAGGCTGAAATGGCTCAAATCAAGCAAAAACATATTATTAAAAACAAAAGTTGTATAGAAATATACTAGGTAAATAATATTTCCATTGCAGTTCAGGATACTAGAGATGAGATGTTGCATTCCTGTGTGATGGCCAAGTGACGTGATGATGGTCGGGTTAAAGGTTCTCATTAACAAGTAAGGTTCTAGTGGCTTAAGTAATCGAGCAGATGTATAATGTTTTGTGTCAACACTGCAGTAATGATCAAATCCTAACACCGCCCTATGCACTTGCCCTGTGTTGATGTCCTCCACCTGCACCAACGGCACAGCAAAGTCCAACAAACGTGTGTTGATACAATGTACATTTGTCTTCAGGAGAACGTCTGCTAGAACTGATACCAGTAGTTATGAATGTGAACTGTCAGTTCTGGTTTGTACTGAATCAGTACACCTGGTAACATGAACGTAGCTTTACTTTATCGCCAGGTTTGCTTTTTTTCTCTGTCTTTTTTTAAGAAAAATGTTTTGCACAGTACTTTGTTAGTGCGCCTACACACTTGTATTTGTGTTATAGTCAGCCTTAAAGTAACACAGTGCATATGACTATTGTACATGTTGTAAATATGTTGTACATAGTGTCAGCATACCTGTTTTGGATATATGATTCTTTAGTTATTTAACCTGCATTGTAACATTCCAAAATCTGTCTTTTTTGATGAATACACAGTAATTTAATTTAAGCGTTGTCACTTGTCTTTGTTGTTAGATTTTATGGAGAGCTGGGATTTTTACCCTTGCACTGCTATCATTGTACTGCAGGGATATAGAGAGCTGGCACACTGTTTCCCAGGAGCCATTCTTTTAGCCACAGACATGCTACCGCAGGAATCTGCACAGCTCTTTATACTCCACCAAAATTAACACCTAAAGGAAACAACTGACATCACACAGAGCCAGAAAGAGGATTTACTGTCCCAAAACTGGCTTTCATTTCAGACCAAATGAATTGTATAATATGTGTCCCATTAAAGAATGAGTCCAACAGTCTATCTACGGCCAAGACTAACAGCTAGGTGTTCTCTCTCACTGAAGTCATGTGTTTATTCTTTCAGAGGTCAAAGGTAAAACTATAAACTGCATATTGCTACAGACACGTTGACTAAATTCTCGGTATTATTTTCTCCTCTTTTGCGTCACATCGGTTCTTTATTTGACTTTTTAAAAGCAGCCCTTCCTTATTAGTTCCACCACATGACCAACTCTGCGTTTCATGTCTGTTTTGAGCACATCAGAGAGAAAGTCAAGTGATCAAAACTTTCAAGGTTTAATATGTTCCAGCTTTTCACTGCCCCGCACCTCATCTGTTTTCCTTTGCAATTTTCTTTTTATATGCGGCCAACTCCGAGGCACACCACTACTGCTCGTACAGCTCCGGGGAGTGGGATGAGACGACGGACGAATCTTGTTTATACTTGGGTTTGATTTGTATTTGTGCTGGGTTTAATAGATAACATAATTTATGTGTGTGAGTGGAGCCTTTCACCCCAGGTTCTCTATATTCACCAGAGAGTGCCTGAAGAGGTTCACACAGGTGTATTTGAAGGCATTTTCTAAACTTACTGCCTGCTGCAGCTGTAATGGGAATTGCTATGTGCACTGACGGTTGTATAGGGAAAAGGAGGTCAGGTTAATATCCTGGTTGACGGCTGTGAGGTCAGCATGTGAACATGTGTGTTTCAGGCCAGTTGCATGGGCTGAACACAGCTGGACACAGTGCTCCAGGCACGTCTGTTAATGCCGAGCTCTGCAGGGAGATTTATGACAGGCTGCAGACACTAGGGATTAAACACAATGCTAAACTGAGTTCTGCATGTTTTAACCAGACTCCAAGCCTTCCTGCCTCTCTGCCTCGCACGGTTCTCCCTCTCCTTTGAATTTCACCAACATCTCGCTCGTCCTGTTGTACGTCTGTCTTCCCGATTAACAATGCGACTGTCAGCCTCATTTACATTCATTTACCTAAACGAATGTAATTAAATCACCTAAAGTTTAATTTCCCTAATGAGTTTTTTGTAGGTTTCTTTAGCAAAAGAAATTTGTTTTTAATCAGGGACCATGCCAGCTGTAATTACACTAATGGGAGATATCAAAGCGGCTCATGGAATCACTGTTTTAACAGTTTGCACATGTTTCCACACCAGTCTTTGAGGAGACCTGGCTGCTTTCATGCACCAGTTTGAAACGTTCCCTATTTCTTCCACTCTGAAGGAATTAATCCCACACTGTGGAATCTTTCAGTGCAGATGGGTTTATGCAATCGACTGCAGACAGTTTTTTATTGCCTAAATGCCAGTGTTCTGTGGTGCCTTCCAGATGTGCCTGCTTCTTATGCCAGTGAATCACAGCCACAGCTACTCATATAGCCAGCGGCCCGCAGCAGGCCCATGCACAGACCCCAGGTACTGGAGCTGATCTTCCCCATCCGTGCACATTGCAAACATTCCAGAACCGAGGAAGGATCATCTCCATGGACACAAGAAGGCACACAGAGTCCTCTGTCTTCAAGGGTAAGAGTCCCAGCTGTGTACATACACATACAAAAAACACAAAGAAAAATGAGCCTGATTTCACTCACAGCTTACAATGGTGCAACAAAGGCTTCAGAATTTAGAGCCTCTCAGAAAGAGAGAGCACAAGAATACTGTTCTCTGCTTGTTTTTTCTTGGAAAGTATATGTGACATTATTGAGTTGGAATATCTCAAAAGTATCCAGGCAATGTCCAATGAACCAAAGCAACATAAAGACGAGCCTCTCAAGGCTTAAAAAAGACCAGGATAGTTTGTCACTATCATTACACAGTGGGGCACCTGACGTCAACTCTGATGTTTCCACATCTTATTGGTCAGACACTGACTGAACATTTGAAATACTGTGTGTGTTTTACATAAAGGTAAATTAATGTGGATAAACTTATACTAATTTAATAATAAAACTAATTTATTATGATTCTCAATATTATTTCAAATACTATTACTAGTATAACAAGTACTACTTGCAGTACTTGTAATGATACTAAATGTTATTAGTATTTTTTTAAATCTATACCAGGGTTTGTACTGTACACCATTGTAGACCTGTAGACCAGAATGTAGCTTATGCTGTCTTTGTTAATAGTAAATGATCTAACACATTGTTACCCAAAGACTGGGTCGCGACCCTCAGGTGGGTTGCAAGAGATTTCTTTTTGGGGTCGTCTCACATCATGTTTACCAAACATTTAATAATGTCTATTGACTTGGGTTGTGAAGGTTTGTGACTTTAAGAAAAAAGTTTGGGAAACACTGATCTAACCTGACCTCCACTGTCACTGACATCACTGTACCTCGCCGCCGCCATCTGTCAGAATCAGACTCACTGAAATTGTTAACATTACCTGGACAAAGTGGCAAAATTAACGAGTTTAAGTTGAGAAAAATAGAAATAAAATTTAAAAAATCTAAAACTAAAGTATATTTGTCATAATAAAAGGAAATCAATACAAGCAGCAAAATAATTAGTTAAACCTGATTGACGTGACTGGAGATATTCTCAGGCGTGAACATATCCTTAGAACTTAATAGTCATAATGCGTCATTGTGCTGTAGACAGTGCACACTATTAGAATTTCAATTATTCAATTCATAATTATAAAGGAAGGCGTGTGTTCAAATGAAGTGAGGTTGACAACTGCTGCTTGTAGGATTTTGTTATGCTTGTATTTGACTCTGACTAATCACAGAGGTATTTTTGTAAATACTTTCATTAAACCTATTGGGGAAAAACATGAAACCATCTTGCAAAATGTTTTAAAAGTTTTTATGACAGTAAAGAAAAATCAAGTGAAACTAAGTCCCAAATGTCAGTGTTTATTCTTTAAATAAATGTGAAGAAAATCCAAGTTAGTTTCTTTATTATATCGTTGTCCAACAACTAATTTGTTGTCCATCCACAACAGGTAACTGAAACTTCTTTTTCCTAGTGGACCTGCCATATGGGAACGGACATATCTGGCATTCTTTCAGGGCTACACAATGAAGGGGACTTCCTGCACATGACTGAATGATTTCATTATAAAACATAACACATTCTAGAGAGTCACTTAGTCACAGCCGAGTGGATACAAGTCATGTAGGGTGTCCCGGGGGCCGGAACAACTGGAGGGGCTTTGGTTGTAGTAAGGACTGGACATTCAGCCTGTGGTGGGCCTGGAGACCTCAGACAAAGCAGGGCTTTGTCTAAACAGGATTTGTAAGCATAGGGTCAGGGCCTCTGGTATTTGTTCTTAAGACAAACTAGAAGATAATGAATAGGAGAAGGGGGTCACACATACCACAACCAATAAGAACAAAGGGACACGTTTCCTGTGGTGTCTGTTTTCTACAAACCTCCTGTCCTATCTCTGTGTTGGCCAATGAAGTGAATGTGAACGTCTGCTCAGTGTGAAGGTATGTTTTGGATGTGTGGCATGTAGCTACTTGTTATCACATGCTGTGCGTTTTACATGTCTATACACCTGGAACCTGTATGAGACATGCAGGTCTGTCCATGTCTGCCAAAAAAGATCACCCACAGTTAGACTCAAGCATTTATGAAACTGAGAGAGTTTAAATAGAGCTTTAAATCTGTTGTTTTTATTTTGCTAGTGATCAGGGTGCCCTCTTAATCAATGTTTCTCAACCTTTTTTAAGCCACGGCATATATTTTACATCAGAAATATCCATGATGCACCACCATATATAGGTTAAATACAATATATTGCTGTAAATAAGTTTCAATTTACTCAAAATTTTACTCTTTATTCAGACCCACAAAGATCTTTCTTAACATAAGCCTCTCTCACAGCACACTAATGTGCTGTGGAAAAGTGGTTAGGAATAACTTACCATGGTCAGAACCAGTAGGTGGCATTAATGCAACTAACCAGGTTCAGATATGCTTGGTAAAGCCCAATGAAGAAGTAAAGCTACAAGTGTTAGCAGGGTTAGCTTGACCTACACTGGATGAAAACTGACTCTCAAAAACAAAATGCTACAAAAATGCTACCATCTGTGTAAGTTTGCTTTTTTCTCCAAAATTTAAATTTAACAACTTAATTTTAACGTTTATTGGTTTTTCATTTTAATATTGAAGTTTTTTATCGATGCGTCTGTCTTCTTAAAATACATTTGTTATTGGTTGGTTTTACTGCTTCACTGCTTACCTAACCACAATTCCCATGAGTCATTCAATTATTTCCAGCAGCTTTACTTTAGTAAGTACTGAGCATAGATTAGCCTGATGTAACAAATGGAAGTGATGTGTTAAAGTCTGCTCTGGTTCTCTGGTATCCTACAGTAGCTGTGGAGAAAATAAACTGAATAGGGCAGAAAAAAAATCACATAGTGGTAAAACATCAAACACGATAACTCGCTTGAAATAGGGTCATCTGACTATGAGTAAGGCTAGTACCAAAAACCTCCACATTTCTTTTCAAATGAAAATGTCCCATGATGTCAATACCAAACTGTGGCTTTCGCGTACCCTTACAAAACTAACCATAATGAATCGAAATAAATGCATAGTATATGTATGCTTTAATTAGATTGATACACGGAGTAATTACAAAGCCTACAAAAAATACAGATTTGCACGTTCTCAATTTAAATGTTTCTGAACCAAGAAAACTGAGGCTGTCACTTTCAATCTCTTTATCTCCGTAGAGACAGTAGAGAGTGATGCTACCAATAAACCCAGATAATTTTCCCCACCCAATTTCACATTCTATAGTCTTAGTCTCCACCCATCAATCTCTAAAATGTCAACAACTTGTAGAATATCATGTGATGTCATGTCCAATATTGATATTTTCGTTGTTAGGAGAATACGGTACGTTCTACTGTCACGTTTCATTATAGAAGCTGTTTCAAAGCTTAGAGGAAAAGAGTGTATGCACCAGTCTACGAATAGATTTTCCGTACAACTACGGCCTTCTACTTAGTGAGAGAACATGATCAATGTATATACAGTAGATTTAAAGTGTGGTTGAAGTCAGAGGTGTTTTCAAAGTTGAGTTAATTCTTATAGGCACCCTTATGGAGGAGTATTGAACTGTTTTTGTTTGTTTGCCTATTTCTAGGATTACCGTGGAATTACATAAGCTGTCTGGTGAAATCCATGTGTTTCTTTCTTCACTTTGTCTCCCTCTCTCTTACAGTGATTTAATGATACAAAGCTTGATAGACATGCTTGAAGGATTTCAGCATTCCCCGAGGGGATGGTTGTTATTTCATCAGTACAGTCGGAGGATCTGTTTCAAGGACATTCCCAGGATCTTCTCAGCCACGATTGCCAACATTTGTGAGATTCCATTTTATTGATCAACTCATCTCATTAACTTCTGCGAATTGTGCTTGAAAGATTTATATAAGATCCCAATTTAAAACCAGATCTGAGGCAAAAAAAAGGAATTGAAAGTAAAGACTAGAACAGAAACATTATCTATCTTAGTGTATATGTTCTGTACTGATAATGAAGTGTTTATTTTTAAATGAGAATCAAACAGCACTCTTGTAGGTCTTGCAGGACACAGCTGAGGTCAAATATACCTGCTGAGTTTGTCGACTGTGCGTAATTCTTGTAGAGAACAAAATCAAGGACACTCATTAAATACAATCAAACATAACACAGATATAAACACATACGCTTTTACCAGTGTAACAAGTAAAAGCATATGTGTACACTTACTGTGTTACTTCATTTATTTTATCTAAGAGACGCACATATACAGTATGTGCTAATAGACAGCTTTAACTCATTAGTTGCTATATAAAAGTCTTCCGCATGATCAGCCATATACTCCAAAAAAACAAAACAATATTCAAATGTGCATCTGAGTTTACTACGATGTTTTGAATTGGTACGCCTATGGAAATAAATCTTGCCTGGAAGAATGATTGCGTTGATATGAAAATATTTTATATGTCTCTTCTCACGGCCACCTGTACCTCACTGAGACTGTTATTATGGTACTGTGCTGTATATCATGCAAATGCATGAGCAGATTATGAGCCAGACAAAATATGCACTGGTCCAGATTATGTGTCTGTACATATGGTAATGACTGCTTTTCACAAACTCAGGGATGGATTATCTAACGAGGCTGAGACGTGTGCAAACGCTGCACTACTTCAACACTTCCTCTACATCAGAGGTTCGACTGGGTTTATGGAAGACAATGTTTTCACGGATTAGTCTTTAAACTAGAGAAAATCACAAAAATAATATGGTGAATATAAAACTAATATAAATGCTGAATTTCTCTAAAACTTATACATTACATTGATATATGAGGTTTGTCTTCTGTCTTCTTTGTTGGCTTTTTACTTTTTGCAAACAAGTTTTCAAGAGACTTTTATTTTTGACGGGTCTTGCGATATGCTACAGGAAAGGTATTGTTGAAGCAGAATAATTTTGTATCATTCACTGATTCTCCTAGGCCCAGTATCAAATGACCTATGGCCTAGTAACGATCCCACATCCTGTGGTTGAGAACCTACGCTCTGTTTGTGTCCTGTTTCTGTTCTGTTCTGCAACTGTTTTCATTAAAGCTTTGTCCTACCTGCACCTGAATAGCAGGAAAAACGATGTACAAAAGTGCACAGGGGACGTGTGACATTTGATGACAAAATACCTACAACTTGCTGAGGCAGCACTTCTCTTCCTCCCGGGTTGACCACTTACTTCCTGAAAGTAAGTGTCGGCTGGAGGCTATAGGCTATGGCAAGCTGTGTGTGGTTCCTTTTAGTTTGAATTATACCACCCGATGGCTGCGCTGTCGCCTGATCATTTGTTTTTCTCTCTATTGAAAAACACTCTTTTTCACCATTGACCACAATAATCTACCGTTGCATTGCAATGACAGAAGCCAGCTGTGAGAACAAGTCATGACAGTCATCAGCTAAGTAGATCGGTTGACACAGGCGTAATGAGGGACACATTAAGCAGCAGTGAAGACAGGCCTAAGAAGACAAGGCTGTTTTGGGTTGTGTCCAGATGCTGGACGACTCTCTCCCTGGAGAAACAAGAGGCGAATGCTCACGGAAGACAGACATTAAGGATGTTTATGGCCGGCTCTGCACAATTACTGTCTTTGAAAAAAACTAGATATATCTGAGTGGAGGTGCAGTGGGTGGGTCTCTTGGATGCATAAAATATGGCTAATGAAAAAATATGCACAGAAATGAAGCTCGTGGGTGTTTTACTTCAAGATTTAATAAACTCAGATTTAGATCTTGGCAGCTTTACAGTCTACAAGATCTCAGAGCTCCAAGAAATTTTATTACACTGTCCGTCGTCCGACTATGTCACTTGATGCCATCGTTACACTGAATTATCTGGGGAAAATCGTCATTTTCCGTGCAGCCTATTTGCACTAGCTGTTGTGAAAGAAGTCTTGCCATTTTTACCTTCTGTTTTCTTGCAGTGATTTTTTTTTTTTTTTGTGAAGGTCAGATCAGGTATTTAAGCATGTATGAAGTAATCAGAAAATGCATTCGAGATGATATGACAGGATTTTTTGACATTATAAAAGGATTAAGGCAATGGTGTTGACAAGTTGAAGTGCTTCTTTTAGCTAGATACGTTTGCACTAATAGCAGTGCTTTGTAAGGATATTGTTCATTGACAGATCCAAAACAGATGCAGATGAATGATGAGTGCAAGCCTACAGAGGTTAATTCATGATGTGCTAATGTAAATGTGGACTAAATGATAAATTGTGCAAAAAACTTTAAATTTTTCCTCAACAGCGTAGCTATAAAATGACATGGATCGGTGTTTGCTGGTGGCGACCATGACAGGATGATTTTAATCACGTTATTAGATCCACTTTAAAGACATTCCCTTCTTTTCACACCTGTGACTTGACTCGTCTCAGATGACACGTCTAAGACGCCCAGGCCTCCCATGCCAGCAGCTACAGCAATTATCTTGTACCCTGACACAACTGTAGGGTGAGGCTTAGTGTGTAGTCCCTTCATGACGTCCTTATGTTACAAATACCAAAGGGAAATTAATACCAGGTGTAATGGTTCACTTCCTTTTGACATTGAAAGGCAAGTAAGGCAGCAAACCTGTCATGGTTTTAGATTATTCTTTATATAACACACACATCCTTCAGCAATAAAACCAAATTTCCTGCCAGCTTCAATAAAACAGGCAGGGGCAGGACTACAGGAAATGAAGAGAGCTGGGAGAAAACTGAAATCAACAAACAAGGTTTTGATTCAGTCACATCTTCTGTTCGATTTTTTTTTCAGTCTTACCAGGCGACACATAATAAGTCTTCAGTGTCTTTCTTTCTTTTGTTCCTGTTTTGTCATTTTTACCCTGAGTGCACACTGCCATTTTCAGACACTGTTAGTGCCAGCTCATTGAGGGGTCCAGTCATTCAGGCTACTTACTGAGACATCTGCCCAAAAATCAATGTCACTACAAGAGAAACTAAATCTATTTAGCCGTCCGCAATTGCTTTTAATGCAGCGCTGTCTACTATCGGGGACGTGGCTTTTATTTTCTCTCATTTTGTCTCCTTTCACCTCTCCACCCTTCCATTTCTTTGATTTTTACACCACTCCATTTATTCTATGGCGGCTCCCTTCAAAAGGAAAGGGGAAAAAAACAGGGAGGT